TACACTGAGAGAAACATTCTTTTAATTGGAAAATTTTTGTCATATTTTATAAGACTTTCTTTCTTTTTTTTAACTAATTTTTATAATTGTTAGATGAATCATTTAGATATGAAAATGGACTTATTTTTGTTAATAAGCACAAATTACATTCAAAAACAAGAAATAATTTTCCTACAAGAATATTAACAAGAATATTTGTTACATTTTTTTTACTATTTTATTTGATAGCTGTCAAAAATTTGTTTCAGAAGATTTTTTTATTGTCGTAATGCAGAGCAATTTTTTAAGAGTCAATATGAAGGAAAATCTGATTATAAGATTAAATTTAACATTTCGAATATTAGTTTGTGAAACATATCATTTTAAAATTGACTTTATCTGTAGTTTTAAGCTTAAAACATTGTAAAGTGAAGGCATCTTTTTTTAAGGTATACTGTTGTAGATACTAACTTCTAAGTTCTTTTAAAAAATTTAACAAAAATATCTTAAAATGCATTGATTTATAAACTAGGGGTACGAAAATTATGTTTTTTTATCTTAAAAGCTATACAAGAATGTTTTTAAAATGATTCTTTGTCCAAGGATTATATTAAATTGAAATTTGTTATCTTTTAAAAAAAATTTTATAATTTTTTAATTAAGATTGAATTAATTGCTAAAGTTTTAAATATTGCGTTCAACTAAATAATTTGTTTAGTTAGGAGTCGTTTATAAACTACGTCACACTCCTAGGGGTGGGGGGGGGGTGTCAAGCTGTGTGTGACGAAGTGTGGAAAAAAAAATTTTTTGTATGTAAAAAATGTGACGAAGGGGGGAGGGGGTAAAAATCAGTCCGAAAAAGCGTGACGTAGTTTGTGAATGACCCCTTACACCGAAAAAAATGTTCTTAATTTTAGAGGATTCCTCTTTTTTGCAGAATTTTTTTCTCTTACATATGTGCGGTCACTAAAGTGAATTGTAAATTTGTTTTATTTCTAGAAGAATAAATTCAGTCGAAGAAGAAAGATTAATAGTTATTTCTTAATAAAAATATTCTCAAGTAAAAAAATCCACTTTTTTGTAAATGAATATATTGCAATTAAAATGTAAAAATAATTGTTGAGCAGTAGTGTAGAAATTTATTTGTCGATACCTAGATTTTATTTCTTCTTATAAGTCAGGAACTGCTCGTAAATCTCCAACTTTTCCAAAAGGGTTAATTAGTTAACGATGTTTTACTTGAGCAGATTTAAATACCAACCTAGAGAGTCATTATTCAAATTAGGATAAGTGCATCAAATGCCAAGTATCTTAATTGAGCTCTGCCACTATATTCAGCAGTTAGATTATTCAGTATTCTCCAGCGGATCAGTTGAAAATAAGGTCTCCTCTTTTACATATCATTAATTCTCCATTTGAACCAATTTTTAATTTTGTTTCTCGTCAGAAAGGAATGATCAAAAACAAATTACGCACTCTTTATGCAAAAATTGGACGATTCGAAGACCATAGAAAATAACATTATTGTTCAACTGCGAATAGGTGAGAGACATGAATCAAATTGAAGTGGAATCAATAGCACTTTATGCTTTATCGCAGTAATGAGTTTGAAACGAGTAATGACCGATTTGTGTTCGTTTGACCAGTTCCGTTTGTTGTGAAAGTAATGCATATAAATGTATTTGAAGTGCATTGTTAAAGAGGCCCATACAAAATGAGGTGTGCTGTGAACGTGAAGCTCTCTCTTTTGCACATAACCTCATCCCTTCTATAGAGTCGGAGGAAATATTGATTAAATCCTCCCGCGGCCATATTGTCCCGCATCCCCATTGGCCGTCGTCCATTTTGTCCTCCAAACCCCCTACCTCCTCATTTCTCAAAGTCTGTTCTCTGCTGCTGCTGTTCTCGCACGGGTCGAGGAACTCCTGGCGCAAGCGTCACAGCAATTTCGAGCTGTTGTTCCGTTGGCAATTGCATTACCACCAACGGTAATGTACTCCTATCACCGAGTTTTCAGGCCACGTTACAAGTCATTATCATTACTTTATCCCGTTAGCGACACGGAGACGGGAACGAGTCTTTTAATTCTACCTGAAATAATTTTATTATGACAATTCTTTTGTTCTTTCTTATTGATGAAATTATATGCTTCTTGTTCAAAAATAGCAACTGCGTGTGTCGAACAATGGGAATTACAACAATGGATTTTATATATTTCAGGATTAGTTGATATTTACACTTTCAAACTATACGCTCAGCAGTCCAAACTTCTCTTTCTATATTTTTAAAGAGGATTTTTTTATACAATTTTCAATTCTTTATATGGATTCGTGTGGATTTCAAATCTCCACACGAATTTTCGGGTGAAAAATTCGCATGGAAATTCAGACATGTACTCTTTTTTTATATTATAAAATCTATAAGTATACATGACCTGTTGAAAGGGTCCTTTGGGAAGTTGTTTAATAAGCTGAATGTACTCATTTCTTTCAGAAAATGCAAAAACAAAAAAACAGTTTTTAGTAACTTTGATATAAAATCTAGAAAAAATAAATATATTTTTAACGGTACTTACCTGCTTCTCTTTAGAAAAGTTTAATAAATAAAATCCAATTGTCCATTTAACAAATTTTCATATCTAATTTTTCTTAGAATGTGCTAAATGGTTATGGTATCATATAAAAAAGAAATTATTTCTTTTAATCGATTTGCTTAATTACTTGTCTTTTATAATATAAAGTTTTGTATGTATAAACTTTAAAAAATCTTTAAACTTATTTTAGTTTTTAAGGTGTTCATATTATATATTATATTATAGGTATTCTATTTAAATTAAACAAGTATAACAATAAAGGAAGAGGATTCTTTTATAATAATTGCAGAAGTTCATTTTCATGAATATTTTGCTTCCTTATTGTGATTTTCTTCCTCGTGGAAATAACAAGAACAATTATTTCTTTTAAAATAAATTCTTTAAAGAATTTTAAAAAATATTCATTCAAAAGTTATAAAGAAAATATATTAAAAATAGACAAGTTTAGAATACAAAATATTTCATTTAAATTAATTTTTCCTTCCTTATTTTTTTCGATTTTTGAAAGATGCGATGAAATAAATTAAAAAGAAAAATTCTCTTTTTTAATATGACGATGTCCGGAGGCTTTTAATTTATTTCATCGCCTTTCAAACATAGAAAAAAGTGTTCTATACAAAATACTTTAATGAAGCTAATAAGTTTCCTGGGAGATCCAAAAGGTTCGCTATGACAGCGAATTTACTTAAATTTTTACTGATGCTGCGCATAATTTTTCTAAGGATATCAAATTGCGAGACAAAAAACGAATAAAAAGGTTGCTCGTAACAAAAATAACTGGAATTTTCAATGTGACAATGAAATGTTCAGTTGTTTTTTAACTGAGTATGCCTGAAATTTCAGTAATTTGAAACTGATTATCAGTGAAAGTTCACTGATTATCTTTAATCGTGAGAATAAAGTCACTAATTTTCAGTGGAATTTCACTGATTCAGATTTAAAGAATGTATAATTTGGAAATATTTGACAGCAAATATCAGTTAACCCTTTAAAGATCAAGTTTTCAGAGAAAGTTAATTAAAGTTTTCTATTTGAAGAGCATAGTATGTGAAATAGCAAATTTTTTACGAACTATATGCAAAATATTGTTTCAATATTCAGTTTTAGAATTTTAGAAATCAAGAAAGTTATGCTCAAGTTAACAAAAAAATTTTCATGTTTCGTTAAAGCATCACTGGTCCTCAAAGAATTAAAAGTTGACAGCAGTTTATTTTTTTCCATGCACTTAAGAATATCCTCTAAATGAGGACTAAAAAATGAGCTTAAATTTTTATTTTTAAAAATTGAACTAGTTTATTTTTGTAAAATACATTAAGGTTATACTTAATTAATTAATTTAGTTATAACAGTTTCATAAAGCAACAATTGAAAAAATGTAACTAACATTACATTTTTTCCTTCACTTTCTTAAACCTAAATTTTCAAAGAAGAAATTCTAAGATGAATTGAAGAAATTTTTCTCTATTATTATAAGCTTTGCAGGTAAATGTTTCGAAAATTACAAATAGCAACTGTAGGATTACTTCACGAAAAGTTTTAATCCTGTGATGCTCATTTAAAAATTAACATTTATCATTCTGAAGAAAAAGATTAGAATTTGATTTTAAGACTTTAAATATATATACCTACATATATTTTTGATTACAAAATCTTCAACATGCTAATTAAAAATATTGTAAAAAATAAATTACTTTTTAATTTAAATTATGTAGAACAAGAGACATTGTACAAGGAGTTTATAAATCAACAATGCTGTTCTAACATGTCTGTATAGTTGTTATTGCTTTTATACATATAGATAGTGTATCCAACTCTTCCGTTCTGCTTTTATGTATAGACACACGATATTCACAACTAAATGCCTCAGTTATCCACACTTCAATCCCTGTCTCCTTTAAATTTCATAACCGCACAAAGATAATTTGCAAATTTCCATAAATTTATTTTCATAAATTCATTTTATTGAATCATCAATAATAAATAATCATTTTCACTATATATTTCGAAAGCAATAAAAAAATACCATAAAAAAAATGTTTGAACGTTAACATTGAAAGTATTGAAAACTGGACGAGTAAATATATATGTGACCTGCTCTTATTTGTTAAACATCTATTTTTCTTCTCGTATTGTGAAAATTGTAAATAAAAAAAGTGTTGTGTGTGTGCTGAAAATCGTTGCTTGATGTATATACATATATACTCTTTCTATAAAACTTGAATTCGATGGATCAGAGAATGTTTCAACGTAAAGTCCTGGTAACCGTCTCGTGGATGTCGTTCAAAGTAGTAAAAGCACCCCTCTGACGTCACGCGAAGACCAACTATTGGCTCACGGGAAGCCCGCCCGTTTAACGCCCACGTGATTTCCCACCCTTACGTAACGACCACGCCTTCTCACAATCATCCCCCGCAAGCTCGAGGAAACTGGGTCAGACAGACCCCAGGCCGAATAACGCCAGACGGTCAGGCGTCGCTAGTCGCAGTCCCGCGGATACCACCCCAAAGCCCGTCGTCGGAAACTCGCTCTCGAGTCGTCTTCATCCTTGTCCTCAACACCGTCCTCGTTCTCAGCGTCACGCCGATCGACCTAATCCGTGCGAGTTAATTCGGAAAGAAAAGGACAAGCGGGTGAGTCTAGCCTTTATTTTCACACATTCTCGGCAATTCTCACCTTTTTGCGCAAAACTGTATAACTTCTATTTCACTTAATAAGTGACAGTTCTCGCTGATTTTAGTGATTCAAATTTCTTGCTGATTTAGAGAATATTAAACTTTCTCAAAGACACTTGTCAAAAAGTTTTGTGCATTTTAGTTTTCTTCATTTACTTTGCATTTCCACGCACCTATTTTCTTTAACGCGGTAGTGATAATTGTCCATGTTTCTATGGTCGCTCTTGTCTCTCGAACTTGGTCAATGTTCCTTATTGCTTTGCAAAAAATGAAAAATTTAATTGAAGGGTTCGAAAACGTGTCTTACACGGAACTCTTGTATTGATTGTTGTAGGGACTGAGGCGAGGAGCACTGCAGAGACATGGATAATGTACAAGTGATCGGCACTAAAATCACTGCAATCAAGGAATACTTATATGTAAGATTCATCTCATCTCATGTTTTTTCTCGCACATTATTATTATTATTTGTATGTTCACCACTGTACTGTTCCTTGAAGGGCTAACTAGTCCTAGGAACTTTAATGAAATAAATAAATTATTTTTGTTATGATCTCTGAACGAATTTATCTTATTAGCCTGCTGTTTAATAATAATTAAACCTATTGTTATTGTTATTGTTGTATTGTAACAATTTAATGAAAATCGTTTATTTTGTTTGGATTTACAGAACTTTGCCAGGACCCATTCCCCAACGAGAATCATGAGTTCCGAAAACACATACTCCCTCTCTAGGGAGCACTGCAATCTTAAATATTCTGGTGAGTTATTTCATGTAAATTCCATCGCGGTGCATGAGTCCCCTTGCATGCATTCCAGTCTGGAATATGTATGATAATGTCTGAAAGCATTTTTTAGGTTTGCTTACTATACAAACTCAATTTTTCTTTTATACTTGTTTTTGTAATTTATATTTTACTAAAATTATCTTTTAAAGTAAATTACTTATTCACAGGCTTATTTATTTCAAAATCGCTAAAATTTTATTCTGTTGTTACATAACATTCTTTTTGAAAAGTTCACAACTGTTAACTATAAGCGAATAGACTACTGGAGAATCAGTAAAGTGTTATTATAAATTAAAGAATCATTCTTATTCATCTATATATATGTAAATGAAGCATACTTCACTGTTCCCCGCATCAGCCGAAATACTAACAGTTTTTCTAAGAATTTCAAATTGAAACAAAAAACTAATCAAAATGTTGCTTATTCGTTTTTTGTCTCAATTTGATATCTTTATAAAAACTGTGCTGACATTTATATTATGTGAACTTGAAAGTATTAAATTGCAACGAATATAAATTAAAATTGAGAATCAAATCATAACTTTAATCCAAATTTTTGGTATCAATTTGATACTTTCAAGAAAACTGAGATATCGATTTTAAGTGAATGTTGATTATCACAGAAAAAAATATGTTAATAAATGTTGCATGTAGCTTTGAAACACAATTCTGGTGTTATTTTAACGTTCATTAAAAATGCGTATTAATTTAAGACACTCTAGTGTTACTTTAACCCTCGGAGTACACACTGGGTCAATTTGATCCACAAACCATTTCTGAAAAAGAAGATTTCGTGTAAACTATTTCTATTTATTCTTTAAGTATATCTCAAGTATATCTCAAAAAAGTTCGATGACAATCGATCTATTGTCATTTTGTAATTGTACTCCATACACAGGAAAAAAAAAGTCTGACTCCGTTTACACCTTAAATTCAGCCCATGTATTTCACATAAGTCTGTCCTTGTTTAATGGGGCTGACTCCGTTTACACCTTAAATTCAGCCTCGAAAACAGGCTGAAAGTAAAACTTTTTTTTTAGTGTGTAAAAAAAGTAATGGCTCAGATTTACCCAAAATTTACTTCGTGATCAAGAAAATAGGTGTGTTCTCGGAGGGTTAACACACTTCAGTGTCATTTTAACACCAAATGTAGTGTTACAATCACACAGTGTCGGTTAAAAATGTTGATACCACATTTGGTGTTAAAATAATTATACTTCTTTTTTTCCAAAAAAAAAAATTACTACACGAAGAATGTACACACCCTAAAAAAATGTAATCTTAATTTTATCGGATTCTTCTAAATTTAATGCATATTTTCCTCTTATAGATCGTATCAAAATTAATATTCAACACTTTAGAGAATTTTCCTCATTATAGGTACATAAAGAAAATCCTCATTATACATGAGGAAAATCATTTGAGAGAATTATACACATGATAATTGTGGTTCTTAACTAAAAAAAGTTATTCTGATGCTCTAAATTAGATGTTTTTAATTAAATAAAAATAATTAATGATTAACCATTATTTACATACATTAATTAATTTATTTATTTGTTTATTTTTTCACTTGAATTCTATGTTTTACCATTCGAACTATCAAAAAAATTGTTTTATTTTATTATTAATCACAAAAGAATAAAAATAATATTCGACATTCATGTGAAATACTGTTGTTTTGAGAGGATATTAGTAGAGGATATTTTCTCTGAATATGAAATTACTTTTTTCTGATTGCACGCTAATACACAAGTAAATACACCTCGCAATTTTCTTTGTAAAAAAAGGCAAACTAAAAATGTATAAAATCGAATTATTTTTAAACATGTGAAGGTCTGATGAGGTATAGAACATATCATTTATAAAGCTGAAAATATTTGAACTCTCATTTTTTTATATTACATTTAAAATATGTTGTAATGTAAATTTATATTCCATAATTAAATTTCTAATTGTGTGTTTGTGAAATAAATATTTTGTAAAATATCACGTACACGCAGTAAAAAGAAAGTCTAAATTCATAGAAGTCTTCAATTAAGGGGTTGTCCTTAAATTACATTATCAATTTAGGGGGGGAGGGAGTTCAAAAATCTATAAAGATGCATTTAACGCAATTATAACGAGGGGGTCTAAAAAGTATGAAAAATTAGTAACGTAGTTTATGAACGACCTCTAAAGTGCAAAATTTTTATGACAGTCAATTCTGAATTAACGCAATGGAATTTAAAGGATTTTACATGTATAAGCAGACAGGGCAGAATTTAAAATTGATCTTAAGTTAAGATTTTCTTTTAACTGTGTGCATTAAAACTTTCCTCAATAATTACACAATTTTTCTAAGGATATTAAATTGAGACAAACTGTGAACTTTTAATATTTTAATTTTACACAAATTTTGTATATAAACATAATTTTAAAAAATCTTGAATACAAGATATTTTGTATTATTCTAAAGGAATGAGAGGGTGCATAGTAATAGAGGATTTAGAACTACACTTAAAAATTCTGATTTGATGACTGGTTGAGGACAGATTACATACCATAGGGGATGGAAGGGTTCGTCTTTGCTTTACAATGTTTGCATTTTGACATATGCTATTGCGCGATAAGGGCTGGTTCGTGCCGTCGGACAAATATTTTGCATTCAAAATTCTCTTAATCAAATAGAGACTGTGGAATTTAATATTCACTGAGAAAAAACTTTAATTATTCCAATAAAATTGTTGCGTGTTGAAAGTATTTTAAGTTGCTGCAACAATATAATAGTTGAAAATAATTATTTAGTTGATACAACAAAATTTTATCAACTTTACTATATATGATTGGATAAAATGCACTAGCAGGCATTGATTAAACCGTATTTGGTCAAGATAACCAAAATGCAAGAGGTTTGCGCATGCTCTGCACATCTGACCATCACATCGCTGATGCTTGCACTTAATTAGAAATTATAATTTTTTTTATGATTTTAAAAAAAGAGAGAAATAATCTCACAAATAGATTATTTTTACATTTGGACAGCAGATCTAAAAATATAAGGTTTATACAACAGAGAATATTTGATTTAGACATAAATTTTTTTCTGAATGTAATAATAATTAAGTATAGTCATAACTTTATAAATTACTTGATCCAACAATAAACTTTATCATTCTTGAACGAAATCAATATAAAAACTATTTTATTGAGACTGTCGAAAATATTTACAACACAATTATTTTGCACTATTGGAAAATATTTAAAAAAATACCAATATATGAATATGAATATATGCCGTATGAAAATATGCAAACCAATATTTTCACAATCGGTTGTATTTAAAATTTTCATAGATTTGTCAAAAATAAAAAGTTGTTTAATACTCAACTGCTTCGAATTTCTTTTATCACTATAAATTACCCTTATAATACCGCTTGTAAATCGAAGGAATTAATTCGCATCCAATCCCTCCGAAAGAAGCTTTGATTAAAAGCAGGCCTATGCGAGGGTCTTAAACACAGCTGGCGCCAAACAACCATACTAATAGTGATGCTTTAATATGATGGACGTTCTAGTTGTGAAGTTTCTATTGTACAAGACGTCCGAAAGTATTTAGGTACGGTAATGATTTTTCGATTTCTACAAATGATTTAGTGAACAATTTAAAGTGAAAATATTTCAACCAAAGTGGCTGTTATAGATTATACACATCATTTTGTTTTTCAATTGTGAGATTTGTTTTGTTGAATTAACAAAGTTATCTATATTCTTTGAAAAGTTTACATTAACTTTCTCATTATTTTCGGTCTAAAAACGATAATGGAGATCTGTAGACTTACTTACGCTCCAAGAAAACTATAAAAGGAGGAGAATATCGAACTTGAGGGCATAGATTGATGGGGAAAGATTATAGGTCAATCTCATGGAAAAAAGCCTGGGATTTTCCTTGTCTAACCGACGGCTCAAAAAGGATACAACATTTCATACTATTAATTCTTCTCTTTCTACAAATTTTTCTCAAGTATTATTATTGAAATTTATTATTACAAGATGATTATAGGTTTGTAATTATTACTGATTTCATTGTGCATTAGATAAAAGTGCGATATAATTTATATTGTAATTCGAAATGAATAATTTCATATATATATGTAAGTGAAAACGTGTTTAAACAGATTGTAACATTGCAAGATACATGTATTGAAAATTATAGTTTTTTTTATTTATATTTTTATAAATTTATTTAAAATGTATAAATTTAGATATAAGGAAATTTTAGATACATATATGGAAACGTTAGGATCAAGAAGGAAATTTTCAGAAGATGACGATGTTATCATCCCACCAAACAAGTGAGAGTGTGTCATTGTAGGTCTATACTTTCAATTGTTTGATGAGGTGAAATCATACCATATCAACAAAAAATTATCAAAAATTGTCAACGAGATATATTGACGGAAAATTGAAGATTCGGAAACAAAAGAAGAAAGAAGTGAAACCATAAGAATAACCATCAAATTTGTAATGCTTTTAATAAACATTTGCTTGTTTATAATATGAATGCATGAAATATTCTTTTCTTAAAGTGCATTAGCATTTTTACTATAAAATTGTCTTAAAAAATTCTGTAAAACATTTATAAATAGTGCTCTTGATACAAATAATTACACACCTATACAAAAATATAATTCATGATTGCTACTTTACCTTTTCACTTACTTACACTTTTATTTAATTTGTCCGAAAATTCATCAAGATTTTATATTCTTCTTGTATTGAAATAAATAATTATGGGAAGAAATGATTAATTTGGATTTTGATTAATTTTCATTTGAATTAATAATTTTGGGGAAAAGGAGGTTTTTTTATGAATTTTTTCAACTATACAAAAATCAAAGTTCGGTTATAAGATTTTCGACTTCTTTCTTAAAAATATACTATTTTTAATATTTAAATTTTTGAAGATAATGTTTTTATACTTTTTAGATCTGTTTTAATTTTTATGTCGTATTATCCTAAATATTAATAAAAATATTTCCAATAAACAGTGAATTAAATCTATTTTAAAAATATATTCTCACCTCACTTAGAACATATTCTCAAAAATGAAATAATTCTTAAATTCTTAAATCTATTCGAAAATAATTTTGGGATACTTATTTGTTTCATCAAAAGTTAATTATTTCTTCTTTATTTGCCATCAGATATTCTGCCTCAAAATGTCGAAGGATATCCAGCCACGAAAGAATTTTTAATGAAAGTAGTCGACATCTTACTAGATTTCATTAAATCAACGAATGATCGGAACTCGAAAGTTTTGGATTTTCATCATCCATCTGAAATGATTCAACTACTTGACTTGGAAATACCTGACACTGGGGTCACCTTGCAACAGCTTCTTATTGATTGCTCAACAACTCTAAAATATCAAGTAAAAACAGGTAATTAAAACAAAATATAATCTCACTCAATTAACATTCATGCGTTTATCACAAAATAGTTTATTGTTCTTTTAATTTATTTGTGTTTAAAAATTTTTAAATTTAAATTCATTTAAATTCATCTTTAAGAAGACTATTATGTTTGGACAAAGAAACTTTACGCCCTATAAGAGGGAGTAATATCTCCTTTATGTCTGAAATTTAAAATATTATTTATGTGAATTTTGAAAATTATTTCTTTAACAACATTGTTTATAATCCATCTTTTAATTTGAAATAACAATAATTCAATACTAATTGGAATAGTAAGTAAAGAAAGTAAAAAGAACGACTTATTTTAAGCCACAAAGGAAGTCTTACATTCAAGATGTTACATTTTTAAGACAACCAGTGCTGAATCTACGCAATGAATTTCGGGGTATTTTATTTACAAACAGTCATTATTGAATTTAAAATTTATCTTGAATTAAGACTATCTTTTTTCTGTGCTTTTTTGAGTCAGAAAATATTATTAGCGCCAGTTTTACAATTTTCGTATTGTACTACTTGTAAGTAGTATAGTCGCGGTCAGGCATAAGCGTACATAGAGTGAGTCCCACTGTACGACGATATTACTACTTACTTCTACGAGAATTACCCAGTGACGCGTGGCGTAAAGCTAACAACAAAATTAATTTTTCTAATATAAAATTATAATTTTAATTGATTGATTAATAATTTTAATAATTATAAATAAATAATAATAAATAATAAAATATCCATAGATAAAAATATTATTTGATTCAAATAATCGATTACTTGTCTATAATCGAATGAATATTGAATTAAATAAATTTCCCGACTTTTAGTGCATGTATATGAAATTGATTTTATAAATGAAGGAGGAAATAATTTTTAAACGAATACTTTTTGCCAATGTTGCCTTTTTCAAAAAGTGTCAAACGATGGGAAAATAGTGTTTCACTGAAGTAAATTGTTCAGGACTTTTGACAGGAAAATTTAACGGTTCGTTGTCTATCTAACTAAAGCTGATGTAATCGATAAGTCCACATATTTTTCATATTCAATTTAGCATACCCATTCGCAGGGGAAAAGATAAGGTGACTATAAGCACTCCCCTTAAGGAAATCCTGCTGATAAGTAACTTAGAAAAAAGGCCTTAAAAAACTATCTATACTCAGTGGGGAAAAATTGAAAAACAAAAGGAATATAAAATTAAATATTAAAAATTAAAATTACTTTTAATTATTGTAACTTAAAGACTAAAATGCCATTTTTCAATATTGAAATATTGATTACATGCCCATGGGTATTGACAGAATATTGACATTAAATTCTGACATTAAATATCACTAATAACAAAAAAAGTAAACGTATTTAAATACATTTATAATCATGTTTTAGAATATAAATATTTAATGATTAATTTTTGTCCTATATGCAATACTTATCAAAGTCGCTGAAATTGCGGAAGTCGACCACAAATCCTCCTCGTGGGTGCTCGCGAAAGTTCACTATCTCGGTTTCGATTCGATTACTGGCTTGAATAGATGCTAATGCACAATGGCTGGGACCGATGGTAAACACCAAAGCTAACCAAACTTAAGCTAGAAATCTAACCAAACTGAATCGCCCGCTGCCAGGGGTGCCGCCCTTTGCTATTGAAAGACGTGTGCTCGATACGTGCCAAGACCAACAAAAACTCGTTATTAGATTATGTACCCCAAATCTCTCTGTTGCACTTTTTATGAACCATCTTTTTTCTATCTATACGCAAAGAGATTTCTCTTATCGCTCACTTTATCGCGCCATCTTTTAATATACCTTTCAGTATATTATCATAAAATATGTAACACCGCTATAAGTATTTATCAAAAGATTTTTCAATTTCAATTTTTCAGTTTCATTTTTCAATTTTGTCGGAAAAGTGTTTAAAGAATTTTTGAATTTAGACAATTGGAATTAGGTGGAAACGATTAATCACTGACAATACAGAATCGTCTTGGAAATTCCAGAGTGGATACTCTTAGTGATTCGGGGGAAGTCAAAAAATAGTTTTGTGGCACTGATGCACGTGGCATAAAACCTAGGGTGGTAAATTCAATGGGATCGGTGTAATTAAGAGCCATTTCTACACGATTTTCCCTTTTGTGGGGTGGAGTGAAACAGTAAATAGGGGTGAGCGTCAGAAGGGCCATCCATACCCTCTACCTGCACACATGTGTGTGTGTTTACACATTAAAATTTAAATTTTTATTTACCCACTTGAAGAAATTCTAATCCAAATTCGTTTGTGGCTTTTACGAAGAAAATTTCCAGAGCTAAACAAACATATCTGTCTACCTTTATTCTGAATTTTAGTCAGTTTTTCACTGAAGAAGTTTAAATTAATTACTTTTTTAGATATCTAATCTTCTACACAATGGAAGTTGAATTTTTTCCATTACTTTTGGTTCAATAAAAAATTATTTTCATTGACATAGGTCACAGTTTTTCTACATAGGATATAAAATTGAGACAAAAAACAAATCAAAATTGTTTTGAGTCGTTTTTCGTCTCAATTTGATACTCTTAGAAAAACTGTTAAAGTGAAACTGTTAATAACTGTTTGAAAAGTTATTAATTTACATAAACATCAGATCTCCGAAAGCACTGTATTAAAACAGCGGACTGTGTAGTTTTTCTGCTTTATGGATTGCATGATTGATTAGCAGTAGGTACTAGAGTTGAGCCTGGGTTACACACTTCTCTTCATACAAATCCTAAGCCCCTAATTTATCACTGAACGGGGGTCTGTTCAAAGCAGGTCTTTCCGTTCGACTTTTCTTTCTTTACTTTTCTCTCGCTTTTCTCCCTCTGTTGTTCGCTTTAAGAAATAAGAGGAAAATGATATGTAATATTTCATACCAACCTTTAAAGAAGAAATAATTTTCTACTGAAAATCCTATTCATGGATATAGGTGAATTATATATTATCACCGTTTGGAAGTATATTGAAAATCTATTAGAGATTCCAAGTATGCGAGCGCACTTGTCCGCTTGTCACCGCGCAATTCAATACCAATATAAAAATTCAGGATTTTATCAGTAAATAATTTACACCCTATTGAATATTTCAGGTATGAAACTAATCGAGTGGTTAATTAGCATTCGGATTCTTCTTTTACTACGTCAATAGAATTTCAAGAAGAAATCTTTTCAAGACTATTTTCAAACGACGAAGGCAGTAAAAGATTGTGTATCAAGATTATATTCTCGACTTAAATAATTGAATTTCTAATTTTCTATTTGTTCTTCCAACTATGAAAAAAAGTTGGCGAGTTTGAGAGCCTCTGCAAACAATCTAGTCGTTCAGCGACGCGTGTGACGCGCAAAATGCGGGCGCTCCGGACCATCGACCCTCGACCCTATGAAGCAAACCACCCCCGCGAGATCTGGAAAAAAGGACCGTCTGCGTTCGCCCTCTTGGTACAATTCACCCCACCGGACGCGTGCCTCGATCCGCCAACCAAGATAATTGCGAATAACAGTGCGACAAACGGCTCGGATAACACTAGTCGATATCACGAGACAGGGAAAGGGAATTCTTATACATATTGCCTCAATACACCCTACAACGTGTGGTCAGCTGTCTCCTCAATCTCCACTTCCTAAGAACTCTTCTCATGCAGGAAGTGCGCTTCTCTTCACCGAGATATCTAAGGAAAATTAAATACTACGAAAACATTATTTTAAAAACTAGCTGGGAAAATCATGCATTGAAACTAAAACTTTTCTTATTTTGTATTTAAACACTGTTAATCATTTATCTCATTGATTAATTTATTAAAAAAATAAATAAAATTATCCATTATTTATTCAAAATTGGAATTTTCTTAAATTTTAAATTTAAAATCCTTTCAAGTTTTCATTTATTTATGAAAATTGTGAAAGTGACTCTTTTAAAATTCAATTCAATTTTAAAATTATTTAAGTGAAATTATTCATTAAATAATCTATAATTAATAATATTATGATGGTTCTTGAAGAATTAAGTTATTTTAAAAAGAAATTAACGTCGAAAAATTCCATGGAAGTACCCCCTGGAAATTCCATGGGAATTCTCCATGGAATTTCCGTGAAGATTCCAATAAAAAAGTCCCAATTTTCAGAGTCGAATATCGAATTTGAGCTTTTTTTCATCAATTTGAAGCTTTTTTTATTAAAGAAAAGCTTTTTTGATACACGGAGGTACTAGAAACTTTTTTAGAATTTATTTACAATTCAGAAAAATTTGTGTCTAAAAATGTTCACAAAAAAATCAACTTGAAGCTTTTTCTAATTAAAGAAGTTTTTTAGAATATATTTCCGATTCACAAAAAATTAGTGACTTGAAAAATGACGCTGATCTTGTCTTGACAATTCTTTTTTAACAATTTTTCGCGTCAAATATCAAATTTGGGCTTTCTCTCAACGGTTTGGAGATTTTTTTCATTAATGAAGAGCTTTTTCAGAAACACGAAGGTACTCAGCACTTTTTTAGAATTTATTTCTATTTAAAAAAAATTTTGTATTTTGAAAAACGAAGCGGGTCTTGTAAATTTATTTTCACAATTTTTCAAGTCAAATATCAAATTTGGGCTTTTTTTATCAATTTGGAGATTTTTTTATTACAAAGAGTTTTTTCGAAACACGAAAGTACTCAGAGCTTTTTTAAAATTTATTTTCGATTTAAAATGAAATTGTGTCCTGAAAAACGCGACTCTTGTCTTGTAAATTTATATTTTTACAACTTTCGTGTTAAATTTCAAATTTGAGCTTTTTTTAAAATCAATTTGGAGCTTTTTTAGTAAAGAAGAGCTTTTTCCCAACATACGAAAATACTCAGCACTTTTTTAGAATATATTTTTGATTCAGAATAAAATTATGTCTTGAAAAACGACACGCTGGTCTTGTAAATTTATTTTTACAATTTTTCGAATCAAATATCATATTTTGGCTTTTTTAAAATCAATTTGGAGCTTTTTTTATTAAAGAAGAGCTTTTTCCGATACAAGAAGGTTTCGGAGGGCTTTTTAGAATTTATTTTTGATTCAAAAAGAAATTGTGTCTTGAAAAGCGACTTTGGTCTTGTTTTATTTTTACAATTTTTGAGTCAAATATCAAATTTGGACTTTTTTCATCAATTTGGGTTTTTTTTAAAGAAGAGCTTTTTCCGATACACGGAGGTACTCAGAATTTATTTCCGATTCAGAAAAACTTTGTGTCTTGACAAACGACTCTGGTCTCGTATAAATTTACATTTTCACTATTTTTCGAGGCAAATATCAAATTTGGGCTTTTTTTCGTCAATTTGAAGCTTTCTTTATTAAAGAAGAGTTTTTTCGAAACACGAAGGTTCAACAAAGCTTATTATTAAACTTCAATCATAATAGAAATGTTTAAATTAATATTAAAATAGAAAAATTGCAGAATTTCCATGGAATTTCCAGGAGGTACTTCCATGGAATTTTTAAAAGTGGGAAATAGAAAACATTGAAGGTTTTGTATTAAAATTCGTGGTAATTTCATAGTTTATGAGGCAAGCAAAAAAGACACAAAAATTTATAATTTTCTTATGAATTGTAAAAATTAAATTTTTCCCAGTATTTTTTAATAAAATTCTCAGACTTTTCTCTGAATTCCCTTACCTGTAGCAACCCTGTAAATGTAAATAAATTATTTTTAACTAATAATATAATGTTAACTAGTAAGTAATAAAACTAATACTTCAAGGGAACAACTAATAAGTCACAGCAACTACATTTTATCCAGATGTCCTATTTCTTCAAAGAAATTGTTGCAATAAATCAAACCCAGTTGTTTAAATGAAGACAATTATTCTTAATGTTTCCGTGGATTATATGTTCGACATACAACCGAATTGAGACATAATCTGGAAGTTCCGTTCAAGCGGCTAATGCGAGAGCAAACGTCCCCTGCCTAACGTTTTAATGGATTATTCGTCAAATATATACTTGACCGAATCACGTAATCCAGGACACCCGGTATATGAGAAAGGAAGGCGTAAGCCCTCTTCCCCAAGTTACATGAAGGGCCAGGTCCCATCAAACAGAAGCATTAGGTTTGATCCGCGCGCGATGTTCAGTCGAGCGAATGACAACATACTCAGCGCCAAGCTTAAAGCTCTCTTCCCTCCAGCTTGCGCCTTTCGCCTTTCGCCTTTAACCTTTAACTTCGAGCAGCATTTTAAACAATAATGCTGCTAATTATTATTTCCCGCGTGCTATTCGAACCATTAATTATTCGAAATTTCATTTTCCTGCATTTGGCACTTCCTAATGGATGTTCCAGTCTGCGATTTATTATGCACTCTTGACGAATATTTAAAGTTTTTCACTACTTTAACACTGTTGGGAGATAAAGGCTTCTTCTATATATATAATATATATCAATTTTCAGATTTGAACTCGGGGGGTTATTCTTTAAAAAGAAATATTCACGAAAATTTTAAGCATCTAGGATTTTTATTTGTGGAAAATGTGGAAATGTCAGGGAATTTTAATCAGAATCCTAAAAAATGGCTGTTTTATAAAGTTATGGTGTTTATTCTTGAAATCTAATTTTACTTAAATATTTCAAAATTAATTCAATTTTAAAAGAGTTGTGTTTACAATTTTCATAAATAGATGAACTTTTCAAAAGATTTTAATTTTAAATTTTAGAAAATTTCAATTTTGAATGAATTAATTAAATAATAGAAATTTCACAGCAATTCTATTATTTACAAATTTTTTTTATAAATTTATTAAATTATTTTCATGAATAATAAAATTCTTTATAGGTTTTCAATTATTTTTATAAATAATAAAATTCATCGCACAATTTCAATTATTTTTAATACAAATTTTCATGGAATTGCTCGAAAAATGTAATTATTCTTAAAAATTTTATTAAAATTCGTCAAAGAAATTCAATTATTTTAAAAAGCCTTCCTATAATTTAATTTAAGTATTATTTTCAATACATTTTTAATTAAATTTCTTTAAAGAATTAAATTATTTTCAAAAATTTTAATGAAATTCTGTGTAACAATTAATTTTTTTTCAAAACAATTTTAATAAAATTCTTCGTAGAAATTTAATTAATTTCACCAAATTTGTCAAAATTTAATTTAAAAAAATATTAAAATTTGTCTCAAGAATTGAGGCCTTGGATCGAATTACTCGCCCGACGCTCGAAGACACGCGCTAATACCAGTCGGGTAGCAGTGAGTGGCCCAGAGGCGCTCACTGCTCACTGACTGGCAGTTGCGCGTTCCTCCGAGCGTCGGGCGAGTTATTCGATCCAAGGCCTCAATTCAATTATTTTCAAATGTAATAAAATTCTTCGCAGAATTCTCAAAAAATTAAATTGTTCTTAAAAATTTTATTAAAATTCGAGTTTGAATTATTTAAAAATTTGTTGATAAACTTCGTAATGAGAGTTCAATTTAAAGCAACATTGAATTATTCAATAAATTATTTATTATTGCATTTTATTTGTATTTAAATAATTGAATTCTCGTAGAATTTTTTAATAAAAATTGATTTAAATATGAATTATTTCAGTTAAAATTTTAGATAATAATTGAATATTAAACTCTAAATTTGAATTAGTAAAAATGGTTTCTAACTTGAATTCGTGACTGACTTTTTGCTTTTGAATTAGCAGATTTTACTAATAAATATTCGTTTCTACTATTTTAATAGTAATATTTACTAATCCACAAAAGCGTGAATTTTTAGAAATAATTGAATTTTTCATACTTTTAACTGAAAATTGTGTAGATTTAATTTTTTTTTTAAATTGAATGCAACTTTTTTGAAATTATTTAAAGTTTTTATTTTCTAATATATAAATTTAATTGAAGAATTTCAGAATAATCGATGAAATTACGTAAAATTAATTTGTAAACAAAGTAATTTTAAAATTTTCAAAGAAATTTTTAAAAAATTATTAAAAACTAGCAAATGTGATATTCAATTTATTATTATTTACAAAAATTTTTATTTTCAAATATGAATTTTTGAATAACTTCGTTAAGAATTCAATTATTTTTGTAAATAGTAAAATTTTTTGCAAAAATTAAATTATTTTCAAAAAAATTGTACAAAAGAATATTTAATTTTTTTCTTTATTCGATATCAAATATTTGAAAAGAATTTAATTATCCTCTAAAATTTTTAAAAATCGTTCGAAACAATTCAATTTTATTTAGGTATAAATAGTAAAATTCTTTGCAAAAATTCAATTATTTTCGAAAAAATTTCTTGAAAGAATTCAATTTTTTTCTTAATTCGTTATAAAAATTTTGAAAAGAATTTTAATAAAATTCAATAATTAAATGTTTAATTTTAAATTATTAACAAACACGATTATTTTAAAAACATGGAAGAAATTGTTCATAAAATTCAATTATTTTTTAGATTTTTAATTAAAATTTTTAAAAAAACTCCATTATTTAAAAAAAAATCAAAGAAAATTTTCAAAAAGAGTTTAATTAAAATTATCAAAAATTTTAACATATTTCTTCTCGACAATTAAATTATTTTCCGAAATAATAAAATTCTTGTAAGGAATTCTATTATCAAATTTGTTGATAAAATTTTTGCAACAATTTGATGATTTTCAATAAATTAATTTTAAAAATGAAAATTATTTAAAAAGTTAGGAAATAAAAAAGGAAACAAAAATTAACTTCAAACTGCGAACAGATTACCGGATTACAACGATTATTATTAATATAGAAGATAATTAATTTAAAGAAGACTTTTAAGTTAAAAATTTTAGAAAATAATTGAATTGAAATAAAAAAAATAATTATTCTATCAGTTGGTCATCTTCATCGATCACTAGGAGTCTTCGACTCGGAGCAATCGATATCTTCATGTTTTATAACAATTTTTTTAAAATTGTTTAATTTCAAAACGGTTTGAATTTGAATGTTTTGAAGAATTTTAATTCCTACAAAAAAATAATGATTGAATATTTATCTAAAAAAGTAGTAATAGAATATTTTCCTGAATAATAATTTTTAAACTGAAATCAGAATATTCTTTAGAGTGAGGAAAAAGTAAGAATTTTGTCTAAAATTCAAGGGAAAGTCAAGGAAAAACAAAATTAAATTTTTGTTGGCATGTAGTTTTAAAAATCTATGGAAAAATTCCGTTTTTTAACCTGGAAAAGTCAGGGAATTTGAAATGAGCAAAAACGTGGCATTATTATAAATTAGTACATAATAATGTTTTGGACGAAATTTTTTTTTTAACTGAATACATTTCTCTTTAGGTAATAATATCCACATTTGAATGTTGTTCCTTGCAGGACATCCGCATTTTTTCAATCAACTCTCTTGTGGCCTAGATCTTGTGTCTATGGCTGGCGAATGGCTCACTGCAACCGCCAATACGAACATGTTTACTTACGAAATAGCTCCAGTTTTTATTCTCATGGAAAATGTGGTCTTACAAAAAATGCGTGAACTTATTGGCTGGAATACTGGTGACTCAATTTTAGCACCGGGAGGATCCATCAGCAACCTGTACGCTTTTCTTGCCGCCAGACATAAAATGTTTCCTCAGTACAAAGAGCGAGGCCTTGCGACAGTTGGAGGTCAGCTTGTGATGTTCACTTCTGATCAAGTAAGAAAAAAATAAATATTCGCGAGTATTCTTTAAAATTAATGTCATCCTTGAGAAAATTCACGTGGCTGTTCGTTTCATTGACAGTGTCATTATTCCGTAAAATCCTGCGCTTCGGTTTGTGGCCTAGGCACTGACAACTGCGTAATGGTGCCCAGCGATGAACGAGGTCGCATGATTCCTTCTAAACTCGAAGAATTAATTTTGGAACGCAAAGCTAAGGGTCACATACCGTTCTTCGTGAGTGCTACTGCAGGTACAACGGTCATTGGAGCATTCGATCCGATATCTGAGATTGCCGATATTTGCCATAAATATAAACTGTGGTTACATATAGACGTAAGTATTATTTTTGTACCGTCAAATGGAAATTACTGCGAATTCTTAACTAAAAAATTGTCTACTTTAAAAAAAAATTTAAAAGTGTCTGTAATTTTTTGAAATTTTAGAAGCAAGTTAAGATTTAACGTTAGCTAAGGTGTCTTAAAGGGTAGATTCGACATTCAAATCTATAGTACTTATGCAGCAGTTAAACTCTGGGATGTAAACGCCAAACGCGTAAGAGTCTTAGCATTAATAATAAATGTGAGAAGCAACAGGCTTCGTAGCTAACGCGAGCTAACGTCCCTAACAATTTGAGGAAAATTTTGAAAGTAGCACGTGATAAAATCACTACGAAAACGTTCTCTTCACATCTATCTCGATACTTTAATTATTTAATCATTAAACTTTGATATTTCAATTCGTAAATGCTTTTTTCGATTTAATGGGAGAAAACTTGAAGGGACTTATCGCTTTTAAATTGTTTAGAATAGTTTCTGATGATTCTAGGCGGCTTGGGGTGGTGGACTGCTTCTATCCAGGAAGCACCGACATCCGCAGTTGACAGGTATTGAGCGGTAAGTGTGAGACCAAAGATACTTGAATTAAAGTTTGAAAATAAGACGTAGTGTGTGCAGTCGATTGTTTAAGTCATGTCTCAAAATGACAGTTACATAAACATTTGGAAAATCTCTCGAACCCCATAAAAGGGGACGTGTGAGTGCGAGCCTAATCCCTAAGTTTTATAGTTTATTGGGGCTTAGTTTGATGGAATCCATCGAAAAATACAGTGGCAGTGGGGTTTCTGGAGTAAAATAATCAATACAGTGGTTTGCGAGTGGCGGCGCAAGGTGGATCGTTTCAATCGACTCGCAGGAAAATAGCTTTACATGAAAATGAGCGAGGGTGTGGAGGAGAAATCTCAGGGAAACTCAAGTCAGTCAGGGCATAATGGATCGTCGACATAAACCGCGATTAAAGAAAGTGCCAGGATGAGGAAACTTTCAGCCCTTAAGACTACCATTACCTTAAAAACTCCAAGGAAGGTGGAAATCTTTTTGAAATTAAATGCAATCATTTCTTGTGAAAGAAAAATCAATTGATAGAAGGAGATAGTAATTTAGATGCTACTAGAAGTTTCCTCGGGCTATTGCGAATGTGTTGTAATGCGCGATACAAAAGGGATTGAAAAGACTGACTCCTGTCCACACCACATGCCAACTTTCACATTTTCCAGCCCTTCCAACTTAGTGTATAGGAGGGCAGGAGGCAAACCTGAAATGGGGACGAGATTTCTATGGGGTTGGCGAGATTAATCCACGATTTGCATCCGGGCGCATCTGCGCTCCCCTACTAGGAACTTGAGTGTAGACAATTCCTGACCCAAAAGTGCTGGGGTGTAAGACTCTCTTGAGAACAATTTTCGACTATTTTCAAACAATGCTACACACCTAATGAGTATATGATCAGTTTCATCATCATTTTTTAAATTTTACCCAATTTCTACTTTTATTGCATGCTTCTTATAACTTGTTAACAAACTTGTTAACAGAATATGCACTTTATGTTATAAAAAAAACTTTCCTCACTTGTGAATTTTATGGAAAAAAAGTTTTCAAGGAAAAAAGTGATTTTACATTGGACTGTACCGCGTAAAGAACTTCCTTCCTGAAGGTCGTGATTAAAATGGCAAGCAAGGAGCAAAAGACACAAGGAAGAACAACAGCTGGATCTGTTCCCTGGAGCGCATTTGCAGAACAGAACTCTCCTCTTATTGCCACGACACAGAATTGCAGCGCTGCTCACGAGTTTGAAATAAAGCCCATGCCTTGACAATGCTGGATTAAACTCGTACAAAGGGATTCGCTCATCGGCTCTATCTTCATTACTCTTGTTTCCTTCTTTTCAGTGAAGGAAATTTTTTGATTTCGCAGGAGCAAAAGTCTATTCGATTGCTATAACAAAAGTATCATAATCGTTAAAAACAAATGTCAAAATCTTTCTATTCATGAAAACATCTCCTTTCAATTCTAAAATGTCTTTTTATTATACTTCTGTATAAAGAAATGCTATGTTTCAAGAGACAAACATTAACCCTGAATTTTCTACTTGGAATAAACAATAGCCTCCTCAATGGTATAACATTCAATTGTTACAAAATATCTAGAGAGGATTTTCAATATAAAAATGTTCTGAAACAGAGATGGGAAATATGTTATGCAGACAAACAAAGAATGAGTAATATGACAAAGAATAATTGTTTAAGAGAATTTTATATTGAGGAAAGAAAAAAGTGTTTGTGGCACAACTAATGCACGTGATGCTTTCGTTATTTATTGAGAAGAGTTCTGTGTAACGATTAATGGTAAACGCATGTTTGTGACACAAATCACTTTTGCAGTACTAGAAATCAGAACCCTCGCTGCAGCTGTAATGTCAATAAGCAGAAGGGTCGATTTTCGCGTATATGTCAGTTGCCATGTATCGATAACATTTGTCATTTAACACAAAGCCCGCTCATAAAATATAAAGCTCTATCATACCTGTAATCTTTCGATACTGATAATGCGAAAGTTGTTATTCTTGCCTCTCATTTGTGCACAATTACTTAAAATTTTAAAAACAATCATCAAACTTTGCATTTGGTACGATTCACTAAAAAGAAAAATTCTAATTTCTCTCATCAATTGTTGTTCTCAAAAAATGTCTAATCATATACCGCAAAAAAGTTCTTAGTTTTAGAGAACTCCTCTTCTTTTGTATCATTTCTTCGAGCATTGAAGTAAACACAACTAATTTATTGAGAACTTTTAAGAATTTTCATCTAATATTTATTTTTGAATGATAGTTTTTAAACAGTTTGAAGATACACGAAAAAAACAAAAAATAACTTAAAATCTTTTAAATATAAGTTTGTTTTATTTCTAGAAGAATAATGACAATTAATGAAGAAAGATTAAAACTTATCATTTAATCAGAAATATTCTCAAATAAAAAAAATAGGTTCTCTTTCTTATTGATGAATATTCGCATATATTTAAGACAAAAAGTAAAAGTAATTGAAGAGCAGAATTCTCTTCGCACTTTGAGACTATCTATTCGGTGTAAGTACTAATTTGTGCACTTGAAAAAAAGAAATTGAAATGAAGAGAATTGAAGATAACTGTAAAATTAGTATAATATATTGAATAAGAGTGACAGTGTCAGTTGGAAGGGTTATAAAATTTACCACAAGGGTGTGACTATAAGCACGGCGGGATATAAATCCGATCCCGCAGCTATATTAATAGCTACTCTCGAATTGATAGACCCTCCTAGTACAAGGCAAAGATAACTCATATTTTATCCCCTATTACCTCCCGTGGGAGTGGATAAGGATTTGACGACCAGCTGAGGCTGATCGACTTTTTCAGTCATTTTGACTCACTTTTTTCGAGCTGTCATCTTTATGTCTCTAATATGTCCATCTATAAATCCAAATCTCATATTATCATTTTTATAAAACTTTTTAATTTTCTAGTCAATATTTTACACATTTTTTTATTTATAATCAAGTAACTGAAAAAGAATTAAAAACTAGACTTCCATTTCAGAGCTGATTCGGTAACCTGGAATCCTCACAAACTCATGGGAGCTTTGTTACAGTGCTCAACTATTCATTTCAAAGAAGAAGTAAGTATATTAAAAAAGTTAATTTTTAATTTTACAATGAATTAACAGGGTTGTCGCACAGGTCAGAGAAATTAACAAAATGTCCGGTTTTTAAAATAAAGACAAAAAATTTTAGTTCAAATTTTTTGCTTCTAAAAATAATCTTTCTTTTATAATTATAGAACTCCCCTTGAAATTTTTTTTATAAGAATTAGTGAAAAAATCTAAATCGAGTAAAATCTTTGCGCCAACCCTGAAAATAAATTGTTATACCCAAAGTTTTAAAATAACTATTTATAAAATTATGGAGGAGAGAAGAAAAAATATGATTTCCAATAAGTTCAACTGAGAGTGAAATTGAAAATGAAACAGTCGCTCATAAATGGGCGTTGTTCGTGTTTTTTTACGCAGTAAAAAATTTTCCAGTACCCCAAATTCCATTAATCCGTATCGAATTGATGATATGTTTGGAAAAACTTTGATTGAGAAAAAAATTGTTGGTGGAAAAAGAAAAATTACAAGTTCGAATTCTTGACATCGGCCTCGGCCCAAGAGCGATGACGTTCTAGTGACATTCCAAAACGCTGCAAACGTAACTTCGCAAACGGGACACTGCAGGAATTTAATTAAGCTAAGAGATAACATATGTTGCTAGCTCGGTGTATAGTGGGGAGTAGAGGGTGATCCCCTTTGGAGTTTAGTTATTGCTATTCGGTTCTTCCCCTCCAGATATTAAAATTCCGTACACCGGCTGCTGTTCACCCTAAGAATGTTTTGAGGAAAGTTCTTATTTTTTTTTTTTTGCAAATTTTGCCTGCCTTTCTTCGGAAATCAATTTTCTCAAAAAATGAATGACTATCATGTCAATCTTTGCTTTCATATTTTTATGTTATAAATCAGAGAGTCCTCTCCCTTTTTCCAAGATGCATCCATTTAGATAAGAGGGAACCAAAAATTTAATTTTAGGTGATGATGTACGATGATGTATATACGTACTATCGAAATTTCAGCAAAGTATAAAGATTTTACGTTCATTATTTTTCAGAAACCTTGAATTTTTTCTTTATCTTATTGTATTTTTAATGAAAATTTAATTATTCTAAATTTATAAGAATATAAAATGAATAAAGTTTTTCCATAATGCAGTGACAGCCATTTTAGAATCTCAATATTGTTCAGCTTGATATTCACCGCGCACGTGCAAATCTTATTGACCCGTTGTACAAACTGTTTTTGGCAATATAATTTCCTGTACGAAAAGCGAAAATTTAAAAAATCTCTCCTCTGTACAATATAAACCTATCTCTAAATAAATTTAAAATAAATTTTTATCTCTGAAACAAATCTCCTTTTGTTTAAAATTATAGGGTCTGTTAATTAGTTGCAACCAAATGTCTGCAGAGTATTTATTCATGACTGATAAATTATATGATGTAAAATATGATACTGGTGATAAAGTTATCCAATGCGGTCGACACAATGACATCTTCAAACTTTGGTTACAATGGCGCTCCAAGGTAAATTGATTTTCAATTGACAAGCTATTTTTTACAATTATACCCACATGTATTTTAAACATTTTATTAAAATTTCGTTAAATAGGGTACCGACGGCTTTGAAAAACTTATGGATCGACTAATGGAACTCACAGATTACATGGTTCGTCGAATCAAAGAAATGCCTGATAAATTCTACTTGATTCTTGAACCTGAATTAGTAAACGTATGTTTCTGGTACCTGCCGTCTCGCGTTCGTCAAATGGCACACTGTCCACAGAGAGAGAAAATTTTAGGAGAAGTAAGATTTTCAAAACAACATTTTCCTTAAAAATCAACTGGAACTTGTAATTGATTTATGAATATGGAATTAAAAATAATTTTCTTTGCAGATATGTCCTATTTTGAAAGGCCGGATGATGCAAGCTGGAACATTAATGGTAGGTTATCAACCAGATGATCGAAGACCAAATTTCTTTAGAAATATCATATCAAGTGCTGCAGTCACAGAAGCTGATGTCGACTTTCTATTGGCGGAAATGGATCGATTGGGTCACGATCTGTAAATATTGATCGCATCAAGTTTTTTTCAGGTGACTGAGGGTTGTGGCATTTTTTTAATGGTGCTCGCTATATTTCAGAAAAATATAATCTAAGGGAAAAATGTCTATCTATATGCGAGTAAACAAAACCGTGAGAAAAATGCCATTTACCAAAATGTATAAAATCTATGAAGCCAATTAATCTCAACCACGAATATTAAGATAAAACATATGCAAAAGATTGCAATGCCCAGGCGTTATTTATTGCTTGTTATAAAACTTATGAATTTTTAAGTACATTTCGAATGTCATATAACGCCGTTTTTTTCGAGGTATCAAATTGATTACTTTCTGAATCATTCAAACCAGAACAAAAATTTCTTTATTGGTTTATTTGGAAGACATCGAATGAATATAATGCTAATTATTAGTTGAAAATAATTTGGCAAATTTAAATAGTTACAATTTTATTATTTACTATTTTTAATATTTGTATTTCTATTTCTTTCTATTTAGATAATTTCTTAATAATTATCGGTTTTCTCGCTAACGAGTGAACTGGTATAGTTTAAAAGCAAAAAGTGTCATAAGAAATGAAGAATAAGTATAAAAGTGAAAAATAGTATAACCTCAGCGGTAAACGGGAATTATAGTTTATACTATACAATTGATATATTCATTCTATTAAATCATAATAATTGTTGAAATATTAAAATTTGTTAAATAAGTTTAAAAACTCTTAATTTTAATTAAATATAAAAAGTTTGAATGTTAAATTAATCATTTGTTAAATGTTTAAATGATTATGAACAGATGCTTTTAATCTTTAATTAAGTCTATAGTCTAATAATTATTTAATTTAACAGTTACTTATTAACTATCTTACTAATTAATTTATTATTTTTATTATTATTAATTTAATATAATTTAACTTAATATGTAAATTTTTAGCTATGCAAAGAGTCAGAGTTGAATTTTTCTTATGACACATTGCAATTAGAGTATAAATTGTTAAATCGGTAAAGTAGAGTTGGCGTCTTTATGAAATCTACAGCCAATTAAAGAAAGTAAGAAGCGAACAAAAGTGCATAAAGATAATGCGCTTTGCTACAAAATAGATCTTTCAAATTAGCTCACGATAGTTTGCAAAAAATACAAATATATAATATTCTCGCGTACAAGAATTTTTTTAATAATTTGAAGTAAAATGTGTTGCATATAATATACAAATCTGAAAAACGCTACTCCCAAAAATCAGAAAATCCTTACAAAACTATAAATATATAAAAGCTGCAAATCAGAATAATTTCTCTTAAAATAAAAAAAAATTAGAGGTTTTTATTTAGAGTATAAGTATTTTTGTTGATCGACAATAGTTAATTTAACTATTAAGTTTGTTAAAATAATGATTTAAATATTTTCAATTTATCTATAATTACAGTTTTTCTGCAGACATCAAATTGAGACAAAAAAAAGTATCAAAATTGATGCGGTGCAACGTTTTGATGGGTTATTTGTCTCAAATTTGATATCTGCAGAAAAACTGTGAACAAATTGGTTGAAATAAGAAAAGTTAAAAAGTCAAATAGTAACAGTGTTGTTGCACATCATTTAGTGTGTAATATTTAAGAAATTTGAATTTTATTCTCATCAGTTGAAAGATATTTAAACCAGAGAAATGTTTAATAAACACTTACTACTTTTTCTGGTCACTGTAACCGGAAATTGTACTTGAAAAAAGCCTTAACAAAAAAATATAATAATACGTTATTTCAAATCACTATCTAATGTGATTAGAGTTTTAATATTTTTAACTTGAAGAACAACAATAAATAATTAATAACTGTTTGAACATAAACCAAATTCTATACTTCACATTATATAAGTTTTTGGAGTTTACAGCAGTCAATATGTATAATCAATATTTAAAGAACCTGAAAGAAACAAATTTATTATAAAATACGACAAAGCAATATAGAAAATTTATTTTGAAAGCTACTAAAAAAAAGATATTTTTTTTATTGTTATATAAATAAGAGACTATCTATATAAATTCAATATTCTGCAATATTGGAAAGAGATTTGTTTCAATATATATATAACAAAAAAATTTAGTGCATATATTATAATTTAATAAAAAGGAAATACTTGTTGCTTATATTATTGGTTTCTGCGTGAAACATTTATATAGATATATATAAATTGTGAAATAAGAAATAACACATCTATATATGAAATATTTGTTTGTTATTCGAGAGATGAAATGAAAAGGTAAATAAAGAGAGAATATATGCATACATAGGTATAGCAAAATATATTTAGAAATAACATCCTTAATAAGGGGCCAAGAGCTACTCACGAGAATATTGATCTCCTCCTTCCGGGTTTCTTTCAATTAGATATCGATAGAAATAATTTCTAAAATATCGAGCAATAAAATCCGAGGCCAAGAAGAGTTCATTCCTGTCTCTCGTGATAACTATACAATAAATAACGTAACCGTTTTCGGAATAGGAAGAGTTTCCAGGAATTATAATATTATTATTACTTTTTTTCTTTTATCAACTAACACTTATTTTATTAGGTACACTTTAAATGTTTCAATTTCGAGAAGTTAATTTTAAAAGTAATCGCAAATTTTCAATATTCATTTCAAAATTCAAACATAAAAAGAAAGTGGCAAAGTTTCCGAAAAATGTGTTACGTAGTTTATCAAGTCCCTCTATATCATGAAAAAAATACAAAACCCATGAAAGTATGTTTAATCAGACAATTAGGTTGAACTTATTTTCTTTCAAAAATTAATTTTACAAAATAATCTATTTTGTCTTCAATTATGAATTTTTCTTAAACTTCTTGGAAGAGTAATTTTTGTTTATCAGTAAAAATTTTTATAAGCCGAGCCTATATATGAACACGATAAAAATTTAAATTACTGTAATTGCTGCAATTGCATGATTTGCAAATTACTCACCACTGTGGAATTAAGAAAGATACATATAAGTAAAAACAAATATATAGAAGATATAATTCTATAAAAACAAAACAAAATTACGTATCTCCTTTGATACTTATAACCGACATGTTGTTCAAAATTTATAAAGTACTATCTTAAATTTTTCGTTGCTTAGAGACAATAAATTTTCACAAAGTTATAGAAAATAACTGACTTTAGAGAATTTATAATTTAGAGAATTTATTTTCTCAAACGGAAAATATACTATACTCTGTCCGTTGCATAAAGAATATTATTTGTAGTATCGTTTTTTAAGACATTTTACTTGTGCAATGAAGAGAAAATTTTATTTTCGATAGTCAAGTTATCGTCAATTTAGGAAAAGAAGTAATTAATATCAGTTTATAAAATTTATGTGTATATATATGCCCAGAAAAAGGTGAAAAGATTACCTTCAACAATCTGTAAAAGCTTGACGAAATATGTCAGTCCAGTAAGAGTACTCAGACAATATACGACAACGCAGTTTATACTGTTAGGTACGTGCAAAATATATATAAAAGTGGTTGTAGTGCGTATTTTTGGAAGCACGTTATTTAAACAAGTAAACTGTCTAATTATCAATTTTGTTGATGTTACTGTTTCAAAAGTTCATGTAACAACATCCTATATACTTGATATATTTGAATAGTGGATACATATTTTGAAAGAAATATTTGAACATACATATCTTTTTGGATATTTTTTATTAAATGATTCCATTTATCAAAAAATATAAAGTTATTCTTTTGATGTGAGTCCTTAAGTGCCATGGCAATGATTTTAGTCATCATTGTCCTGGTCCTTCAGGGGTCGTCAATCCGTATAATTTTCAACGATGAATTTACGGTAAATATAAAGACAATAGTTTTACAAAATCCTAGTAAAAGATTTTTTTAAATTACTTTAAATTATTTATTGCATTTTGTCGATACCTGTGTATTATTTGACAAATATTTTTTAGTGTTGTATTGTGATGCAGAAAAAGTATTGAAGTGTTATTGTACCGATTTCCTCTAATTTTTTAGTCTCTATTTAATTATATATATACCTACATATCACTTTTTTCAAGAACTTTGTATTACAAGTTAGCAACTTTATATATTTACGAAAATGTCTTTATCTTCTTTTCTGCATTGCAAACTTAAAAAAGGGGACTTTTTTGTATATAAAGTTTGACACAAACTTGTATGTTTTGCCGCTTTGAATTTATATTCAAAATATTGGATATGATATGTTAATTTGTTTTAAACCTTTAGTACTATTCACTGGAAAGCAAATGTTTCTTACTTGATTCAAGATCGTAAAATATTGTATAAAATTCATTTCACACATTTATTTTAAATTTACCTACAATTTTTTTTTTGTATTTGTTTTCAAAACACGTACGGGATAAAGATTTTTTTCTGTAAAAATAGTAATATTTGAAGAATTCTTTATGGAAAAATGTTATAGAATATCAATTTTGTCCACCAGTGGGTATAATAAAAGAAAGCAATCTAAATGAAGTCTAATTAAAAATCCTTAAAAATTCTTAAAAATCCTTGTTTAAATATCTATTGTAAAATCTAAAAGGCTTTAAAAATAATAGAATGTAGGTTTTAAGTAATAAGAATATTGTTGGCTGTGAAAATGAAACGTCAAAGTACATTAACAAACTTCTTTACAGATTTTGCAATGTTTGATTTTAACTAAATGTAAAACTTACATAAAACCAGAAATCTAAATTTAATTTATACATTCGATTTACAAAACATACAATTTGCAGACTTTTGCAGGCTTTTGCATTATTACAAGCGTGAAGCTTTTTTAAACTTAAAGTTCAATATACGATGTAGGCATATTCTTTGACAATACTTGACATTAAAAATAGTTTTTAATTAATAGCTAATATGTAAATATGCAACAACACCCAAGTTTCTCTGAATGTATTTTTCCTTTATAACAATAAGTATATGTAAATAAAAACATTTACACTGTCTGTGCTGACAATAAGAAAAAAGTATGTTAAATTTATGATTTTTGCGGAAAATACACACAAACACTGTTGAAGTAAAGCTTTAAATATATATCGTTTATTGTTAAAGAATGAGGAAACCGGTACAAATAATAAATGCCATGTATACACCGTCGAGAATTGTTATATAATATATGTACAAGGTAACACGAATAACAACAAAATCTTACGTCTTCCAGTCAATAGCGTACGATGTATAATTACATATTATATTAGGAAAGCGTTTGCAATGTATATATTATATATCTGTATGCATATGAATATGCATGCAAACATGCAATAATTGTACTGTATGCTCGTTGAAAATTTAAGTAACAAATCTTGGCCTGAAAACAGTTAACATTGCGCAAATCAGATAGATAAAACAATGATATGTAATAATTATAAATACGTTTCTATTGTTTCGTGAGCATGTTGTGCCGCTGTGGACAAAAAAATATTTATCCAAAAATAATACCCTAAAACACCTGTATATCAATGTCTATTAAACTGCTGTTGATTGAATCAATCTGTTCTTTAAATTATTTTCATCCTACCTACTATATCTTTTTCATCGTTTTTTTCAAATTACAAGAAACAAACAAACAAACATTGGAATGTTAGAATTTAAAAACAAAATAACAAAACAGACCTGACTGACAACTATATGTTTATTCAAAAATATTTTAATTTATTCATTCAACACGTTTTATTTTAATATATAAACAGTTGAATAAATTATCATATGAAGACGATGTTGTCGGCCTCGAACCGTTGCTATCGCAGTACAAGTATATACTTAACAGTTAGCGTAGAACTGTTCTCGTAGGCAGTCAACTTCTACATTTATATAGATATGAAATCCTTCATTGAATACTCGCCGGATTGTGAATTTCCTATTGAAAATCTTCCATATGGAGTTTTCTCTACTCCAGAATGCGTAAGTTCGTTTTATTCATTGTAATCAAGATTCTTTGGTTGTGTACCCTCTTAATCTTAAACTGAGATGAAATTCAGGTTTTTTCCGTTAGAAGCCTAACCACTAATTCCATAATCAGTTCCAAATTTAAAATATTGATTTCTCCTAGTGAATTTTAACTGCAGATTCAGTGATAACTAACTTACTGAAGTACCGGTGTATATATGTATACATTTGATTTGAATTAGTGTTATACTTATTATCACAGATTCAGATTAAGAGAATAAGCTGGAGATAACTAATCAATTCGAATCAATCGAATTTGAATCTTTCATTGAAGAAGAATTTATAAACTTGTAGTTGAAAGCATGTATTCTTCCGAGATTCATTTGTTTTTTTTATATTTGTTACACTTTTAGCTAATAAACATAACTTGTCTAAACAATAAAGATCATCAAACTTAGCAGTTTAGGGTTAGTAAACTACATTTACCATCAAACGGAAAAGATGGTAATTTGAGTGCACACCGACTGATGGTACAACTACCATCGCTAACTTATCTTCAGTAGTACAAACTGACTAGAGAAATACCATGAAATGGTTAGGAAGAAAACAAAGTTTCACCAAAATTTTTCTTCTTTAATAGTTTCTCTTTCTAAACGTTTTGAATTTTTAAATTAAAACTCTAATTTAATGTTTTTAAGATTCAATAATAATAAATAAACAAGACTATAATTTTCAAAACAAACACTTAAACAGTATTTTATTAACATTTTTAAAAATAATTGAATTGTTCGGAGGTATTTTTACTGAAATTTTTAAAAATAATCTTAATTAAAATTAAATTATTATTAAATTATCTTAATTAAAATTGAAAATAGTTAAATTTTTTTAAAGAATTTATCAAAATTGTTCAAAATAATTAAATTCTTTAGAAGAATTTTATTTAATTTTTTTTAAATAATTGAATTCCTAACACAGTTTTTCTTATTTATTAAATTAATAGAATTGTTTCGAAAATTTTTGACAATATTTTGTTATTTATAAAAGTAGAAATATAGGAACAATTATATTATAATTTTAGCCTCAAAAACGAATAGGGGTGGCTATTGGAGATGAAATATTGGATTTATACGCAATAGCTAATTATTTCACCGGACCGCTTTTGGAGAAGAAGCAAAATGTTTTCCGACAGGATAATCTCAATCAATTTATGGCTCTTGGAAGACCATCCTGGATAGAAGCAAGAAAAACATTACAGCGATTATTATCAGCTGAAAATTCAACTCTTCAAGATCCACAAATCAGGGCAAAGTAATTTTTAAATTAAAAAAAAAAATTTATTCATTAAAAAACTCATTTGCTTTGCATTTTTTGATTTTTCCTAAAACTCAATATTTAGGTCCTTCGTGAGTCAAGAAAAAGCAATAATGCATTTGCCTGCCAAGATTGGAGATTACACCGATTTTTATTCCTCCATTCATCATGCGACAAATGTTGGGATTATGTTTCGAGGGAAAGAGAACGCCCTCATGCCGAACTGGTAAACAAAATTAGCACACTTATAATATAAAAAATATAAATATTATACAATTGTCTATGTATACGGGTTCTCTAAAGGAAATATCTTCCTGTCGGTTACCACGGTAGAGCAAGTTCAGTTGTGATTTCCGGTACTCCTATCTATCGTCCGTATGGACAGACTGTTCCGGTTGAAGGCACACCGCCTGTGTATGGACCTTCGAGACTTCTAGACTTTGAATTAGAAGTAGCCTTCTTTGTTGGAGGCTCACCGACGAAATTGGGAGAAAGTGTTTCTGCATCCGAGGCGTATGATCATATATTTGGAATGGTTGTGATGAACGACTGGAGCGGTGAGATAAAAACTATTTCCACTCCTCTTCTACTATTCTCATTTCGTTTTCTAACAATTATAATTATTTATTCAGCACGTGATATTCAAAAATGGGAATATGTCCCTCTTGGACCATTTGGAGCGAAAAATTTTGGCACAACAATTTCTCCCTGGATCGTAACAATGGAGGCTCTTGAAGCCTTTAAAGTTCCCAATGTTCCTCAAGATCCCGAACCTTTCTCGTATCTTCAGCATGATTACTCTTGTAATTTTGATATTAAACTCGAAGTTCATATTCAACGTAAGTTTCCGAAATCATCTACAATCTTAAATTTACAATTACAACTTAGAAGATTATTTACAAGACAATTAACTTTCATTGTTCTTTGAAGCACAAAATGGATCGTTGACAACCGTTTCAAGAAGTAATTACAAAAATATGTATTGGACTCCGGCACAACAATTGGCTCATCACACTGTAAGTGGTTGCAATGTGAACCCTGGGGATCTTTTGGCTTCGGGAACAATAAGTGGGGAAGTAAGTGCAATAGAAAAATTAATTTGAAACTCGAATTTATTCTTCTTATTCAGTAGGTGAGTGAATTAATAAACTTGTTTATTTTCAGACTCCCGATTCATACGGAAGTATGCTTGAATTGAGTTGGAAAGGAACTCGACCAATAGAGATGCAAGATGGAACAACAAGAAAGTTTCTGCAGGATGGTGATGAAGTCATTATGCACGGTATGGCAATTACAATATATTTATAAAGCAGTTACTGAAAGAAATTATTTAACATATGTCTTTTAATATATTATTTTTTTCTTTCTTAGGTTATTGCGTTGGCGATGGATATCGTGTTGGTTTTGGTTTGTGTAAAGGAAAACTGTTACCCGCAAAAACAAAATGATTTTTAAATACTTATGTAACTTTGTTTTAAAAAAATACTTGTTTTGTAAAAGTTCCAATAAACATATCTTTACAAAATTTTGGTCAATATTGTTAGAGCTTTATTATTTATGAACCATTGAACTAAAAATAAAGTTACTATAATTGATTTAATATATAGTTTTTCATATTGAGCATAGACGGAATATGTGAAGAGCTATAGTATTGACTGTAAAAACGATCAATAATGAGGGCGCTTAGAATAATAAAGAGAACCATGGCAGTCGCTTTGCTTCAGTAAGTAGAAATAAAAAATAGTGTCATGCCCCCGCTTCTAAGTTTACAATTTGAAATAATAAAAATGATCGGTCTACATAAAAACTTATAAAATACAAAAACTGTGATTGTATCTCTTTTATCAGTTAAGTGAGTAAATATTGATTATTTTAGTATTTTCCAATAATTTTCTTGTTTTACTATATACCTAATTAAAGATATTGTTGAAATTTTAGAAATGTTAGAATTCAGGGTGAGTCACCATTATTGCGTCCCAAAAATATATTCAAATTTATCCAAATGTATTTATTTCTACCTAATTTCTTTTGCGCCCTTGACTCATAAGTAATAGACAAGATAATATTTAAAGGTTTTAACCAAAATAAGGTCTGTTTTGATAATCAATTTAAATTAATTTGCAGAGTTCGTTAAAGTGTGTAGAAAAGTGTTAATTTTAATAACCACCAAATTTAAAGCAAACTGTTTTGACCAACAAAAGTCTTTATAAAAAGCGGGAAATATTTAATTTTACTAAAAAGAATCTCCGACAGAGCTCGATTTTTTAGATTGTTTATTTCTGATAAATTTACTTGCACTTCTGACCAACTACCCAGTGGATACGCTCTAAATAAGATATACGCATAAATTTTATTTCCATTTAAAAACTATCTCTATTATATTTGCATTTCGTTTTCATTGTTTTATTCTTCATAGAATCACAGTTTTTCAGTTTTTCTAAGGACATGAAATTTTATTTTTAAATTTTAGAACTTTGAGGACTCTAGAAATGTCAGGATACACGGCCAAGTGGGAAGTGCCTTTAAACGATGGAAAAACTCATGTTGTTGAATTCGAACACGGAACAGCGACTGGGAAACGAGTGGTCAGGGTCAATGGTGAAACCCTTGTTAATAGAGAATGGATGTTTCGACTTGTTGGAGATGAAATTATACATCTTGGCAAAAACAAGATTGTAATTAGAATTGATCCAATACATGGTGATTATTCTTAATTATTCCAAAACAGTATTTGTATTTTTATTTTGAAAAAACCAAGTGCGATAAAATTAATATATTAAAAACTTTTACAGGATTGAGATATTCTTATACTTTATGGGTGAATGGGAAAAGTTATGAAAATTTTATTCAAACACAATCAAAACTTTTAAAGTGTTGGACAACAAATTTACGAGGAGTTCAATACAGAATTGTTTTAGGTAAACAATGAATATAATTATAAAGTTTTTCTTTTTCTTTTATTAAAGTTTTTTAAAGACTGAAGTTGGTAAATGAAATTTTATAATTTGCAGATAAAAATACACAGGCAATTTGGATTAATGGTACCCATGAAGAAGACGTTAAGGTATAAGAATACAGTCACAATATGACAGAATATTTTTCTCATTTTTCGAAAAATTAAATTAATACGAAAAATTGTTTAATAAAAAATCTAATTTCAACAGAACGATTTTGTCGATGGAGGTGCGGAAATGGAATTTTTAATTGGAGGCTTACCGGCTGTAATTAGGTCGAATAACATTGAAGGAAGAGAAATAACTTATATTCTCTATATCGACGATTTAGAAATAAAAGATCAGGATTTTTCTGAATAACTATTAACGTACAACTAAACTAATAATTTAACAAATATGCATGAATTGTATACAGATATTCACTTCTTTGTTTTTGCATGCCATTAATTTGCAACGAGAATAATACAACACTAAATTAATGTTTTTAATATTTGAAATTTCCGAAAAATTAATTTAAAAATAAATTGTTTTAAGAGCACCATTAAATATTAAAAAATGAACTAAATTCTAGTTAAAAATTGTGTTGATTGTTATTAACATATTGCATAATGTTTAAATTTTGTCAGTATTCAAAATGGACAATATCTTATGTACATTGTATGAAAAAGTGCCTTTTGCTTGTAAAGGATTCTTATAGAGCATTTCTAGTTTATAAAATACTCAATTTTGGTATTAATAATTATAATAAATAAACATTTTTGGACACCCTACGTATTCATAAAATTAATTGTATTAAAATATATTAAAATCTATAAATAAATATATTTTTAAATACCGTTCACGAATGTTTATTTTATTAAACAAGACTGCGCCTTTGTATAAAATTTATTTTTCTTCAATGTTCAAAACAAGTCTCGATATAATGTAATGACTGAAGAAATCTAAGAAATTCTTATTTAAATATTTTTTTGATTCTCATTTTGAACGTGGATTTTTTTACACTTCTAATAATATAATTTAGTTTGCAAATAAACTCTGAAATACCGAGGTAATGAAGAGAGATGTGACTGATGATATTGTTTCAAAGATATTATTTTATAGTTATAATATTTTCTGCTAGCATTGGTACATATAAATGTTTTGCAAAACTATTATGATAGTTTGGCAAGAATAAAGAGTCCTAGCTTGAAAATTACTCCCCGTTAATTCCGTTTCCCCGTCATGCTTTATGCGTTGCTGAACACACAGACCATACTCAGTTTGAAAAAGGTAACTCAGTGTTACTGTGACATCTACAAAAACGAGGTGTTAAAAATACAAAGTGCTAGATGCGAACAAAAATTTTTAAGATTCAATTTAAATTTAGAAAATTATACGGCGAATGAAAATTTCAAACAAGAAAGTAAAAATGTATGTATTTTAATTTTAATGGTAAAATTCACCAAAGACATCTTTTATCTTTTAATATTTGCACTTATAATTTTTTTTTTAAATTTTCTTGCAAAACCAAAAATAAAATTTGCTAAAGAGTTTAATTTTAAATTAACAATCAAATTTTCATTGATTTCCATTAAGAAACTCTCTGAAATGAAAACTGATACAGTGGAAACTTTAAAACTTGTATGGATAATACATATAATTAGTGGAGGAAGTGCCCGATATACAGAGGTGATTATTCGTTTAAAAATAAGTATAGACATAAAATATACTTTTAAATAGAAAGATTTAATAGTTAATAAATTTTCAAAAGGGGTTAAATGTCAATCTCGGTGAAGCTCTTCAGTTTCTTCGGCAGTATGACTATGAAGCGTCTGCAATGTGCAACAAAATAATGAATTCGCAATGGAATTTCGCTACTAATATTACCGATAGCAATCGCCGAAAAATGGTAAATAAAATTTGTTTAAAAACGTTGTATCATCTTTTGCTGAATTTCAACTTTTATATTCACTACATCCAATCAAAATAAATACGTACAAAAACTCGTTTTTTCATTCAAAACAAAGAAATTAATTCCATCCTTTTTGAAGTTTCAAACTTTGACTGAAACTGAAGAAAAACTGGAACTAGTGACTTGAAAACATATTTAATTCTTTGGAAAACTTTCTTAAGCCATTATTTTTTAAATAAAAATTATTTTTTTCTGGCTGTCAATGAGTTAAAGTGTACGTAGTATTAATTTATTTATTTTTACTCAAATTCTTTAGCTAGAAGATCAAACTCTGAAATTAAAATTTGATAGAGCTTCGTGGAAAAAAGCAGTCAGTTTTGCTTGGAGCAGAGTTCCAGATCCCATGGCGAGACGTCAATTGAAAATCGTAGCAGTTAGAGGAAGATATTCCCTTTCAGACGACAAATTCAATGAGGCATGTAAATAAACATGTGAAACAAAGAAGACAAAAAAAGAGTCGAATTTAATTTAAATATTGTTTTAAAAAACGTTTGTTTTTAGATACACCACCTTATAGTCGAAATGAAAGAATTGTACTCCAGGACCAGATTGTGTCCCTATAAAATGATGAATAATATTTGCAATATGAGCCTGGAACACGGTAAATATAATATTCAGTATTCTAGTTATTTGAAAACAAACAACATTTTTTGTACTGTAAAATAATTGTTTCTCCCCCTTTCAATATTTCAGACATCAATAAAATAATGGTTCAATCCAGAGATTACGATGAACTTCTGCACTACTGGAATTCTTGGCATTCCGCCATTGGACCACCTCTGAGGAACAAGTACATGAGATATGTTCAGTTGTCCAATTTGGCTTCAAAACTTAATGGTCAGTATTTAATTTATTAGTTAGTAGAAATTTTATTCCAAGCTTTTAAACACTAAATGTTTTCAAGGTTTCGCTGACGCTGGAGATCAAATGAGAGAGGGTTTTGAAGACGAATATTTTCAGCAAAATATGGCTGAAGTGATGTCAGCAGTGACACCACTCTACAAGCAATTGTTCACTTATGTGAGATCGAGGCTAATCGACAGATATGGAGACAGAATAAAAAAGGATGGACCACTACCAGCTCACGTGCTAGGCAACATGTGGGCTCAAAATTGGGAAGGCATTTTCAAAATTGTACAACCTTTCCCAGCAGCTGACAAGTTTGACGTCACTTTGGATATGATAATCCAAGGTTTCACGCCTTTGAGAATGTTTCAAATTGCGGAAGAATTTTTCACATCGTTAGGAATGAAACCAATGCCTCCGGAATTTTGGAAATCATCAATGTTCGAGAAGCCCATTGACAGAGAAGTTAGTTGTACTCCCAGCGCTTGGGATTTTTGCAACGGATATGACTATAGGTCAGAAATATTAATAAAATATGCTCTGAAAATAATTACTTCAATTTAATTAATTCGTCAATTTTAGGATAAAGCAATGCACCAAGGTAACAATGGAGGACTTGCTTTCGACTTTTCACCAAATGTCACATTTACAATACTATTTGCAATACAAGGAACAACCATTCCTTTTTCGTGAAGAAGCACTTCCAGGTAAGCAGACGAAATACAAAATTTTGAATGAGAAGAAAACTATTTTACTAAAAATGAAAATTTTTGTATCCATGCAGGATTTCATGAGGCAGTGAGTGACGCAATAGGTCTTTCTGCCCTAGGCCCACAGCATATGCATCGAATTGGACTTTATAACAATTCGGTAGAAGACTATGAAGGCAGTATCAATTTCCTAATGCTTGTAGCACTTCAAAAAGTAGCATACCTACCCTTTGCTTATATAGTCGATCAGGTAAGAATTCCATCATGTTGACGAAATTTCAAAGACTCATGTCTCTTATCTTATCGTAGTGGAGATGGAGAATATTTAGTGACGGAGTTACAGACATGACTACGAAATGGTGGGAGCTGAGGCTGCAGTATCAGGGCATCATACCTCCTTCGAAACGAACAGAAAAAGATTTTGATCCTGCTTCCAAGTATCACCTTCCTGCGGACATTCCTTATGCTAAGTAAGTGAAAAAATTAATTTTTAAACAAGGGAAAAATATTTACGAAAACATTTTCTGCAGATACTTTGTGGGAGTTGTTTTACAGTTTCAATTATTAGAAGCCTTGTGTGACATCTCAGGGCATACGGGAGTTCTGCACACTTGCGATTTATACAGATCCCGAGAAGCAGGTCGTTTACTATCGTAAGTAAACGATAAAAGAAATAGCAAATAAAGATGAATATTTAGAATATTAATTAACAAATTAAAGAAAGCACTGATAGTAGTGATGGAATTAAACTTGCATATTTGACAGAGAAATATTATCAGTCGGTGCTTCGAAGAAAGACATCATACGTCTAATGACAAGAGGAAAAATAAATAGATTGGACGCGGGTGCTATACTTCGATACTTTGAGCCACTGAATCAATGGTTAAAAAGACAAAATCAATTAGAGCCCGTGATAGGCTGGGTCACCACGCAGGAAGATGCAGGTTTGTTATAAGTTTAATGACTCGCAACAACCAGAATCAAATATCAATTATAAATTTGCCTTTTCTACTATTTGTAATTTTAGATGTTCCGACTTCCGTTTCAGCGCTCTTCGCTCATTGGTACCTAAATAGCGGCAATCATATTTCATCATCAATTGTTATTCCGTTCATTTGTCTCACTATGACTAGTGTTAAAGTTTTAAATTTCATAGCATAAACTATTGTTTATTATTAATTATTAGCATTCTAAAATACCCTCTATGGGAAGGACTTAGTACTGCCCTGCAAGAGAAAAAACTTACGTATCCAACATTTTGGTCTCATGAGCTAAAGGATAATTAAAGAGAAACCATTTCTGGAATTTCTTTTTTACCCCAATACTGATGAATCGATTATTTAAAGAATCCATACTAAATAATGCACTTGTGGGACTTTTAAAGCTATAAAGTTACTGAGCAGAACAAGGATGTCCACTGGAAAAATGTAATCAAAGTACAAGACGACAAATTTTCTGGTTATAGTAATCAGAATTTTGATTTGTGTAAGTTTCTGCTGGAACCTCTTCCACTAAAGTCTTATTAAAAATACATTTGCACTTGTAAACATTTATTAAATAAATTGACTGTGATCTAAAAGTGTCATTTTTAATTTTTCACCAAAATGTTGAGTTTTTCTATTCTAGAGCAGAATAAATTAATTAATATTTTCAAAGAAAAAATATCATTTCTAAAACATTGTTTATTTTGAAACAATATAAAAATATGAAAATAGCAGAAAATAAAAAGAATGTCATAAATTGAAAAAAATCTCTAATTGATCGAAATAATACACTTTTTATATATAATGTATTTTACTGAGATGACTTTTTCCAAATTAGAGTTTTATTATTAGCCGGCATATCCTTCATTTCGAGAAGTTGCAAACCGTTTTTATCTGCCAACTCTTGCAAATCACGTGTGTCACGAATACCAAGTTCAGAATTTTGCGCTCGAAGACTTTTGTCAAAATTAATATTACTTTCTGGAGAAAGATTGCCATCGACAGCAAATGGACCGTACATGAATAAAAGTCCATCGGAGTTTAATAATTTCCCAGCATTTTTAAATAAGCTTATTGTACATTCAAATGGGGAAACATGCGTCAAATTTGAAGTGTACATGTAATCAATGGTACTCTCTTTAAAAAATCCATTATTCCAAGTTTTGTAATTAGTTGCAATGTCAATGTTAGTTGGAGTTTTAACATTTGACATTTCAGCAGTGTGGGCTTCAATACTTCTTATTAATTTCGGATCACCGTTTTCAGATGGATAGAAAGTTACGTTAGGGAAATTAGGGGCAAAATGAGCGACATGCTGACCTGAACCAGAAGCAATTTCCAAAAACACCTGAGCTACTCCTTTCTTTATGTAATTCCGAAGTACTGACAATATTGGATCCTTATTTCTTTCAGCAGCTGCGTATATTTCCTTTCCACTCCACATTCTGTATAACACGAGTGATATTAATTAAATAATATAAAGAGCATTAATGAATTTCTATATATAAAGTTACATACTTACTTTTTTCTTTCTTTTCAAGAAGAAGAAGAATTGAATTTCAACTAAAAACCCCTCCAAGTTGAAGGATTGTAATGTCTGCAAACAGTAAAAATATTTCAAGTATTTGATGTGAGAGTACCTATTTGAATTAAATTGGGAGCAAATAAAGTAATGTTTGAACTATGTATTTGTTATTTCATACAAGAATGTCGATATTTATTGTAACGGTCTGTCATACACATTATAATGTACGTAATTGGACTAAACAATGATCTCTTCTAAAACCACTTTCAATCACTATTTTTACTTGATTTGACACATTTTTTAGACTTTCCCACATTTCCCAAGTAAACAGAATGTCCAGTTTTTTTTAAATGTTCGAATAACTTATTTTTACTTGGAAACTCGGATTTACAGGTTATACAAGAATTACTTGTTTCAGGAATCACTTCTGCAGATTTGCCGTCCTTTCGGTATTTATCCTTTCCCCGATCTTCAGAAGACAATTGCTTTTGAGCTCTCCTCATTTCCTTTGCTTTTTTACCCTTTCTCTTCCCTATAACCGAACTCAAATTGGTTTCTTGAAAGGATTCATCGTCGCCATCCTCTCCTTTGCTTTGATTTCCTTGCAAAGAATCTTCAGTCATCTCCACATCTCCCCTTTCATTTCGATTACTGGAGTCATGTACCTCCAATTTGACTGTTGTAGCTTTCGTGTGTGACATTTGCTCTAAAACTATCTTATTCTGTTGCTTCTTGCGTTGCTTTTTCGACAGACCCATACAAGCACCAAAATCCGATTCATCGTCGCTGTTGTGTTCCGCCAGAGTCTTTTGAATGACCTTCCCTCTCTTCTTCTTCTGTTTTTTGAACTTCATCACAACTTGATCATCTTGGTCGCCTTCGTCTTCTTGGTCTGAGATCAGTTCACCTTCAGATGTTCTACTGTTGTTGTCGTTGCCTGTATCGGATTTCGGTGACGACAAATCGACTGCATCGCCCATTTGAGGATCTGTTGCAGCGTTAATAAATTTACTATTTCTTCCTTTTTTCTTTGATTCGGAATCAGATTCATTGTTAGAGTCCCTTTCTCCTTCAGAGTCTTGCTGATCATCTTTATTAGTTTTACTCTCTGCGGGAGTTAATAAGAAATCGGGCATATTGGAACCAGTTGCTAGCTTTTTATTTTGGGAATTTTTCTCATGAGTGCTTTCTTCCTCTTCATCGTCATCATCATCATCATCGTCATCACTTTGAAATTCTTCCTCCTCATCTATCATTGCAGCTTTCATACTTGCTAAGTTGTCCTTGTGCTTTTTAGAATTTTCGTGATTGATAAATGCTTTTTGAGTTTTAAAGATCTTGTTACAAGCGACACAATACAAAGAATTACTATCGCACATAATGTCATTTTTCTCCGAGTCTCCATCGGAAGATAATTCTTCACCAAACTCAGCTGCAAGATTAGCCTCAATATTTTTCAATTCTGATTCCATATTGGAAAACTTGGACCATTCGGAAACAGTATGATCTTTTAATTCTCTCTGTCTTTCTAATAATTGTTGTTTTTTACGCTCTTGAACTTTTTTCGCATTCTCCTTAGCTCGTTCTGCAAGTTTTTGAGCATAAGCTTGAACACGTTTATCTCGTTTACGTACAAAAGCGACTAAATTTCGAACCTGTTCATTTCTCTCGCGTTTTGCTTTGTCACGAATTTTTTTATTCTCTTTCTCGACGATTCTAAGCACTCTTCGATTCGGAGTGTCACGAATGTCATAGGGATCGAGCCATGCAAATGATCGCTTTGTACTGTAACTTTGCCAATAAGCATAAAAATTATGAACTATATCCTCGTATGAACTTGCGGAATCTCCAAATCCTGGTACTTCCACGTCAGAGTCGTCGTCCTTTTCAAAGTCAGCATCTTCGGCGGCTAATTTCTCGAAAACCTCACGATAAATAAAATAGAAACCCTTCTCATCGTCGCCGTACCCCTTGAAACAGCCTGTTGAAAAGTATTGAAAAAGATCGATTGAATCATCTTTATAATTATCACCAATTCCACCTTTCAGAATTGCTTCCCTATGATTGTCATACCACGCACGCTCGTGAGGATCACTTAACACTTCCCATGCTTGCTGCACCAACTGAAACTGTTCCTTAGCCTCTTCAGTATTGTCAGGGTTCTTATCAGGATGCCATTTCAAAGCCAATTTTCTGTAAGACTTCTTCAACTCATCCTCTGCTGCATTTCTCGGAACTCCGAGTACTTCATAGTGACATTTCATCGTATCTTACAAGTCACTTCTATTGTTTATGTTGAGGAAATTTTCAATTTTCAATTAAAATCCTATTATATCAATTAGAAAAATATGTATAATTCTTATCGTAAATAAAGATATTTTTAATTTTTCAATAAAATTCTTTTTTTCAAATAAACAAAAAAGTAAGAAAATAAATGCATTTTTACAAAACCACCCCATCAACAATTTTTTCTAAAACATTAGAATTATTATTCTAATTATTATTTTAATTCAAGGATACAATTGTAAGATCATCAGTCGCACCGTAAACATATATTTTGTGATGCAAAAGGATGTCGATTCCAATTATTCAGTTTTTATTTAAGACTGCACTTTTATCGTAGGTTATAATCAGTAAAGTAGGAATCGGAGCCACGTAATCGATAAAGCAATAAATAAAACCAATGTATACAATATCCGGACTGTCGAATATTGAAAAAAAATTATTATTTATTCACAAAATACTGTGTGAAAAACTATAATTATTAAATTATCACATACTTTGTAAGCACTGTAGATAATACAATACTTAATGGATGAACACACATTTATGCTCACGTTTTTTACCGTGTCAAAACCGTCCAAACGCAAAGCGTTTACATTATTATGATGATTTTCCATTCGCACAAATGACACATATTAACAATTTTTTCTTTACAAATTTTCTTATTTTTCTATCGTTTTTTCAATATATTTAGGGAAATATTTATTATTATAATAAATAAAACTTACTTGGTTATGTTGTGTCTGTGTGTATCACTTAATGAGATGAAGAGAGCAAGAGAACTTGAATGATTCTCCATCTCTTTTACAGGTTGAGTTCACAATAGACAACTTGAGCGATGCAGCGCACCACTGGCAAACTTACCGAACTAAAGTCCTTTTAAACTTTAATTCTCTGGAGCTACACAGCCCTGGTGAGAACCCATTTATTATGGTATTATGAACAGAGTCTTAAACAGCTGACAACGAGACAATGGTCGTAAACGTAAGATTGTATTAAAACCTGACAATTTATATTGACATTTCAACAAATTCCATTAGTTTAAACAAATTTATTATTTTGTTATATTTGGTAAGTATTTTTCAAGAAAATACCTAATGTAAATTGTGTTTAGTGTAGAGAATTCTGATAAACAAACAATTGAATAATAATTATTACGTCAAAAGTGTCACGCAGCAGACGGTTTTCACATTGAAATGGATAATCAATTATTGTCATCATTGTCGTTCTAAAAATCATTACTTATATCGTGAAGTGATACTATTTTACTTTCTTGTTATTTTAAGTGCTTTTTACGTACTAAATATTTGAAAAAATACTATTATTTTTTGGATAAAATAAATATTTTACTTCGTTATTATAATATACTAAAAAGAATTATATATGTTTTACTTGATACCACTTAGAATGTTATAACAATTTTTGATTCTATGAAAATTTCTAAAGGACGTATTCGTAAAAATTGCTGGTTTATTTTTATTCAAATATACACAATTATGTATGTACATATTTAAAAATGATCGAAATTATAAAATAAGTATATTGATAAAATGAAAGCTTGTGCAATGTTTACACGTTATTAACATTTATTTTTATTTTCAGATGAATAAATATGACGGCGGGGACAAGTTTAGTAGTACCTATAGTACTATGGGGTCGTGTTGCTCCAACTCATTGCATTTCTTGCATCTATCTTTCTCGAGATCAGAAAACCCTGATAACTGGGTGTTATGATGGTCAAATATGTTTATGGCAAGTGGAACCTGAAACGTTGAAAGTTAGTGTCTGAACATGATAATAAAACTTAACAGACTTGATAAAATTGATAAAATTTTGAAAAATGTTTCCAGATGACTCCGAGATGCCTGCTCGTAGGACACACTGCTCCTATATTGTGTCTTAGTCGTGCGAGCGTTATCATGGAACAAAATTATATTGTTAGTAGTAGTGAAATTGGTGAAATGTGTACCTGGGATTTAGTCGATGGAAAATGTCGGGAAGCAGTAAAACTTAATAATATTCACACTCAAATGTTACCATACGTATCTACTGGTGGTGAAGACGTAAAATTATTTTGTTCAGGGTAACATTTACAATTCCATAACACTTTATCAATGTAGTAGTAAATTATTTGTATGTACTTACAATTAGTAAATTACAATTTTAGTAAATTCAAGTAACAAATATTTTTTTGAATGACAGGTACTATCCAGAAGTATTAGTAATGGATCCGTTTAGCCTGGAAGTTCTATTTACTCTCAGTTCCAGAGTGAATCCAGACTGGATTAGTGCTTTACACGTTCTGCGCCCGGCCAAACGGAAAGGTCGGTTCTACGTTGTTACAGAAGACACAAGTTAGTTACACTCCATCACAATCCTATGCTTTCTACCTTAAATCTTTACATTAATCCTACCATTATCTTTCATAATTTTTAAATATATTTTTACTTTAAATTTTTCATTTGTTATTTTTTATTATTATTTAGCTAACATCATGTTCAGAACGATTCATTTATTTTTTGTTATGTAAAATATGTAAATATGTAAGTAATGTTTATGTACAATATGAATGTAAAATACCCTTGATAGTTTTTAATTCCTACCAGAAAAAAAGATTCTGGTTGGAAAAACCAGAATTCAGGTTGTTTTTTACTAGAATATCGTATTAAATACCTAACCAGAATTTTTTTTCTAATACTTTTTGCATTGAAAGAATACATGATGTTAGTTATTTTTAAATATTTTACTTTACCTTTTTTTAACTTATGTTTTATCTATTTATATATGAAAAGAAAGCGACAAAAAAAAGTTCTTTTAATTAAAAATAATTCACAAATTATCTCAAGAAGGTCAAAGAAGTGAAAACTTGAATTATATCAAGACATTCTTTTAATTTTAATTTCTGTACTCTTCGCAATCTTTACATAAAAATATTTAGTTCAAATCTTCAATTTGATAATAAAGTATTAATATTATTACACAAAAAAACTTGTGTAATTTATAAATATGATTTGTAAGTTGAAATTGCTGTAAATAACTATAATATTTGCAGTTCAGGGTTTTATTTTTAATTGAGGTGTTTTTATTTTGGTTTTTATTTGAGAAACGGGCTATGAGACTTGAGGGGAAACAAAACAGCAAGATGAATTTTTAAGGACTGTTTAACAATTGTAATTTGTTTTTATACAATTAATCCCTATTATAATGTTACAGCATGTATTTCAAAGTGGTTACAAACTGGTACAATATATTATGCCGGTAGTTAAAATGTGTCTTTTTAAACATATAAATATTTCTTTATATCAATAAGTTTTCTTCTATCATTGGTTTATCTCATTCATTTACAACTTTACTAACATCCATATCATTTCATGTTTTTTTTTAAATTTTTCTTTATTTTTTACTTAATAAATAATAATCCCTATTTTCATGAAGCACCTATATTTCCTGGCTATTCAATTTCAACTTTTTTATCCTTTGAACACTGATACACTACACTTGTAAGTATACACCTTGAAGTGAATATATACACTCCTCCAGAATTAATTACTTTTTCTTATCAAATAATATTTCTCTTATATTACATTAGAAATGCATAACAAATGTCGGATTGCTGTCGAATTGCTGAATGCAATTTTAATATGCAACTTGTTTTGTAAAAAATTTCAATTTTAGCAACAGCTCACACTTTTTCGAAATTAAAATTTTGTTTTTAAGCATTTGAATTTTAATATTATAAAAGCGTAAAATTATTGCAATCAGCTATGAAGAAAAGTTAATATGTAGATGTTTAACTGTTGTTATATTATTATGCATGAGGGTCAAGGTGGAAAAGAACTGCTGTATGCACATTATATTATTAATACATTAAAATTAAACTTAATTAAATGTTTAAGCATGGTAGAATAATATAATATTTAAGCATATTTATTGACATAAAAGAGCATTGTGTTTAAGAGCACCAGAATCTTAATGAATGTGTGTTATATGCTTCTTGAGGTTAATGATTCAATTGAATAAAAAAAAATTTTATCAATAACGTACATAGTAATGAAGTACTTTTTTTGTTCTTGATTGCGAACCATTGCTTCATGCTTTCTTTTTATAAAATAATTTCAAAGTCTGTTTAAATGAAAATTAATTCTTTGTGGTTGCATTAAGATGTGAAAATTTTTTAAAGATGATGTTGTTTTGGCGCTCACAACGACTGGAACAGTTAAAGTATGGACACTATTGGGACATGAAAATAGAAATAGTGAGCCATTGTACGAACATGAAAGTAAACAAATTCGATGTTTAAATGCTCTTGCTATGACATGTTGTCCATATAATCAACGCACGGTACTAATTGTATGTTCCAAATATTGGCAGGTATGTAAATTTTCCCATCGCTTGATCGTCAATATTTATAGAATCTTATTTTATTAAATCTTATCTTCTTTATAGATTTTCGATGCTGGAGATTTCTCTGTTTTGTGTTCCGTTACTGCACCGTATGGAGAAAGATGGATGGCTGGTGATTTTCTTGCCGCAGACAGAGTAATTCTTTGGAGTGATGAAGGTCACGGTTATTTATACAAATTACCCGCCAAGTAAGTGAACCATACTAAATATAAAAGTACGTATTATTGAGTATTTTATAATTAAAAATACGAAATGCAGTAATTATAAAATATTCCAATTAAACTATTTTTTTGTTAATGAAAAATGGTGCATATATAAAAATTACTTTCTTCATTATATTGAAACGTTTTTAGGGCAGTTATTCTACTTGAAAGGTATTAATGATAATTTTACTTCAAAAGTTTGTAACTAATATTTTTTTAATATCAATAATGATAATAGCTTTCTTAATTTAAACAGTTTTTTTTGTTTTCATTGAAATGCGCGCAATACATAATTATTAAAAATTGCGAGGTGTTATGAAATCTACAGTTGATTAGAATAATTTTATTTTCTAGGCAAGCTATTTTATTACCAAGCACTTGCTAGCAATGCACTTATTTTTTATGTATGATTTCTTTATTATTTCATCATATACATCTATATGTATAAAATCTTTGGTCAATTTTATATCTCATTTTTTACAATGTTAAAAAAAAGTTAAAGCAATTATTAAATGAAATTTTCGGCCAAAGATTTTATGGTTGATTCATTATCTTGAAAGGTTATTTAAATATAATATTAAGAAGACTAATAAAATGGATTTATTACAGATTTATCATTCAGATTGTTATGAAGCAATACTGTGACCAAAAGTGAAATCACTCTTATATTCTAAAAATATTTTGCATAATTAAATAAAATTTTTGATTAGATTAATCTGAAATAGATTCTAAAGTAAGAGAAAATTATTTTAAAAATTAGCTGCTGTTAGTTTTTTGATTTTTTCACCACTATCCCATTAATAATTAACATTAATTTAACAATCACTTTGATATTAACGTTCATAAAACCATTGCATAAATTTACCTTTTTTTACTGAGTATCACAAATACATGCAAGTTTCTATTAACTCATTGGTGATTTGTTTTGCACAATGATATATCTTTTCATATAACATAACATCCATACTGTACGGCGGTCCTGGTCTGTTCTAGCAAGCTGAAGGGCAAGGCTCTCAGCAGGTAATTCCACATTACCTCTACATTAAATACTATAACTCTTGTCTTTGCCACTTTCTGTTAAGCCTTTCACTGTGTCTCTTCTTTCTATTTTTATCAATATGTAGTTAAAATGTGTTGACTCTAATTTTTTTACGAAATGGAAACAATATGGTAACTGGTATTTGAAAATTGTATTTTTCTTTCCTGATTTTTTAATGCAGTGACAATATAAATTTACTATCACATACAATTTTTTTTACTTTAATAATAACAACAACAGAATGTCTTTAATCCTCAATCATTTATCCATAAGTCTTCATTTAATTGTATAGTTTTATTTTTATTGTCGCATCATTACTCACAATCTTTACCATCTTGAAGTATGTAAATCATATTATGATCATGTAGCTTTATTTGCTTTGCTCCTTTTTGAAACGAGTATTTTTCGTCAAAATATTGAAAACTATTTTACGTAAAAAAAATTATCTTATTTGTATTTCTTGTTATATTGTACTCTTAGTGAATTATTGATTACGCAGAAGAATTATAATGACTTCAATGTTTCGCAAATTTTTCATAAAATTGTAAGTTTTCAATAGATGTCGAACAATTCTTTATTGAATGCAATCCTTCGTTGTCACAGATGTTCACATAAGTACATGATACATTTATATACAAATAAATGTGTTTTTGTGTGCGGGTGCGAGTGTGAAATATTAAAAAAATAATTTCAGAATCGATGACAAATAATAATAATTATAAAGTGTAGTACTTATTTCACTTTTATGTACATGTATTGTAGCTTCTGATTGTGCAATTGCACCGACTGCGAGTGTGCTAATATGGGTATGCTTTTGTTAAATTATCTAAAAGTTATGTACGTTTTCGTAGCATTTGGGGAAAGATTTAATTAATTTATTATGACTTTTAGCAAATATAAGCATATAATTTTGATAATAATTTCATAAAAATTTCTTATAATCATTTGAAACTTTTAAGTTTAATGATTCATGGAAAATTTATATTTATAGATGCAAACGCTTTGTTGCTTTCCTCTAAACAATACATTCTTATTACCAGTTAACAAATATTTAAATACACACGTAAAGTTATGTTTATTTTAGAAATGTAGTAATTTATTCTTTTATTACTCAGCAGTGTTGCGGACAATCAGAACTTTCATACAGCGTCAATTGACTCCGATCAACCTTACTTGTACTGTACACTGACACAACCAGGAGACAAGGTATTTTCTTCCGTTCATAAATTGTGAATGGAATAAAATTAAGAACAGGAAATAATTTTTGGAAAAATGTTGATAGCCGTTGTCCTGTCCGCCTGCCATGCGTTTAGTGACAGTTCAGCGACAAAATAAAAGCTCCAAGTATCTACTACGCGGTGACAGTGAAGGTGTCGTTGTTCTGTGGACTGTCCCCGATACATCGCCGCAGCAAATACCGCAAGCAAATTGTTTCAATGACGGAACATCAACACCAGTGCTGTCGCCGACTATAAAAACAAGTCTTGCTGCAGCGTGGGAATCGATGAAACCACCACCTGTTGGGATATTAGATCAATTGGACATGAATGATGGGCATGGAATCAAACTCACGGCCAGTATTTACTTACCACAACAAAGTAGACTGGTCGTTGGTCGAGAGGATGGTAGTATTATTATTGTGCCAGCAACGCAAACAGTTATGTTACAATTACTTCACGGCAATCATCAACACTACGAAGGTATAAATTTGCAATTAATTAATTTTTTAGGCTATGATATTCGACCTACAGGAAAAGGGTCTATAACTTATGATTTGTAGATTGGCCACCACATCAGGTTCTTCTGGGCCATTCTGGTAGAGTCAACTGTCTCTTGTATCCCCATGGGGCAGCTAATCGTTACGATCGTGCTCATTTAGTTTCTGGTTCCGTTGACTTTGCTGTCTGTTTGTGGGATCTATACTCCGGCACTTTAATCCATCGTTTCTGCGTTCATGCTGGTGAAATAACTCAACTCATGGTACCACCAGACAACTGCAGTGTATGCAAACATATTTTTATTTTCCTCTTAGAATATTCTAGTTTGATTTTAATTTTAATTCTTGTTCACTTTATTAATTGCAGCCCAGAATACAAAAATGTGTTTGCAGCGTGGCGTCAGATCACAGTGTAACTTTATTATCTTTGGCAGAAAGGAAGTGCGTCGTATTAGCGTCTCGCCACCTTTTCCCTGTTGTCACTATTAAATGGAGACCTCTTGATGATTTCATGATTGTCGGATGTTCCGACGGAGCTGTTTATGTTTGGCAAATGGAGACAGGTCATTTGGATCGTGTTCTTCATGGTAAGTAATCGGAATTTTAGAATTTTTTAATCTTTCTTAAATATGATGATATGATGGATCTAATGAGGAATTTTCCAATCTGATTGAAGGTATTATTGCGGAAGAAGTATTGTACGCTTGTGATGAAAATATATTGGCAAATAATGGAGTTACAGGAACAGGAGGCGAATTAGGACTGGCAAATCCGGCTGTTCATTTTTTCAGAGGCTTAAGACACAGGAATCTTTCCGCTATTCGACATGCTACTCAAAGAGGATTGCATCAACTCCAACAACTTCACGGAGGCCACGGAAATGATCATGGAAACCAAATTAAAGCAAAAGGAGCTCCATTGATGATTCAAGGGTTCAGAAGCAATCCAAAGGATCCTGAAAGTCACATACTGTTTTTCGACATTGAAGGTCTTATAGGTAAATTAACAATTATTTACCTACCTTTTATTTTCAGGACTTGTAGGAAAATAAGAATTCTCATCTTCTGAAATTGAAACGGAACTTTTATTACATTTTTTTACAATGTTCGTGCAGTACAATTATTGAGTGATGAGTATGGCGCCATGACCCCTGGATCGTTAGAAGCGCAGGGTTTAATTTCAGCTTCGGAATATCAAAAGGTAGCTGCTTTAACTCGATCAGCAAGTCCAGATACTCATAAAAAGATTGCAGGTGAGATCAACTGACTGTAGGGCTATTATATAAATTAATTCCGTCCAAAGATTCACCTTCCTTTCATTTTATAAAGCATGTTGGGTTTCTATGTAACAAAACACTAATCTTACTTTGTAGACTTTTTCGGTCGCGTCAAGGATAAAGCAGGCGACGTTGAGAGAATCCTGAAGGAGAAAGATCGTCACGGTATTACCACCTTTATTGAATTAATTATTTTCATATCAAAGTGATTAAATACTTTGTCTACTTTCTCGTTTTACTAACATTAATTTAATATTTGATTGTTAATCTATCGAAAATAATGAGGTTACGTTTAAGGAGAATCTTCTTTCCTAGGTATTTTGGCTAAGATGAAGGAAGGTGCAGAAAATGTTCAAACAAAATTGCAGGCCAAGGCAGAAAGTGTCGGTCTCAAGCCGTCGAATCTTGACGGTAAAGGTTAGATTATACTGCAATGGAAATGTTTCGTATTTTCAGATCCAGTGCATGAATAACCAACATTTGGAAAAATAAGTTTATGTTGCTTCTTATACTTAATATATTATTAACACTTTTTCTCTCCTTAGTTTTATACTCGTTTTTATATTTATGTTGCCAGTCTTAAAAATAATACAATTTGCTTCGTATTTACAAGCATGTTTCAATGTGAATAGTAAATTGTACAATATTAGTGCTTTTATTTAATTACAGACATTAGATTCTTCAGTATTATTACATAAATGTGTTTATTGCTTTACAATTTATTTTTTTCAGCAACATGCGATAAGGTTTTATTTTCTTAACAATTAGAAAGTATTTGTCTACTTTGTAAAAATGTTTATATTATTTTTCAATGTATGTAATTGTATAATTTAATTTTGTTTTTTAGCACGCCGTAATAGACAATTGCACATTTTAATTTTTGTCTATTAATTATCGTATTTTAAACGTAGATATTTATTTGTACTTATTCTAATATTCTCCTTTTTTCACGTTTGTATAAACAATTTTTTAGGCGACGGTTGGAATAATGACACTCCGAAAAATTCCTTAAAACGAAATGGCACTTTTGGCGAATCTAATGCAACAATGGAAATTGCTCAGTTACTTTTGAGTCTTTTGCACGCCTGGGGAATGGATCCAGATCTAGATCGTGTTTGTGAAAGTAAATTGGGACTGTTAATGCCTAAAGTTCCTGTTTCGTTTGGTGTTTTGTCAAAAGGTGGTAAGTTCCAAAAGAATGGATAAATAGATATAGCTTTAAAGTATGCATTCGTTAAAATTTGTCAAGTACGTAAATTTTGTTACTTTACTTACAGTAGTTTATTTACAGGTTATATGTCATTCTTACTTCCCACTTGGCAGACTCATTTGGAGCTGAATGAAGAACCAGCGACTCAAATTGAGCAAAGATTACCTCCTGAAGTTGTGAGGCAAGAGAGATTGACCAGAGCATTTACTTCGAGAGCTCATTGGGAATTGTCGACGACACTAACCAGTAATCACTTGCTGGCAGTGGTTGCTTTAGCTTATACTCTGATGTCGATGAATAATGCAACTTTTGTTCCGGAACAAGAGCAAAAGCGAAAAATGCACAGGTATCGTAGAAATAATTTCATGAAACTTGTATTAATATTATTAGTTTAATTTTGACATATCGATTTAAATACAGACCTGGTAATAGAGTTACCGTAAATTGGAATAAAGTCGAAGAGGAGAATGAAGATTTGTACACAAATACTCAAGCGCAAATAAAACAGGGCTGGTCTTTGTTAGCGACATTGCATTGCGTGTTACTTCCGGATAAAGTAGCGATTCAAGGTGGGGCAAAAACGTTTAAGAGACCGCAAGTAGAAATGATGGCTCGAAGGTGGCAACATCAATGTATAGAAGTATTTACAGACAATAATTATTTAAATAATTTACAATCATTTTTTATAAAGTTTACATAATTTCTCTTTTACCATTTTTCTACACAGATTAGACATGCTGCTCAGGCCCTCTTACTTGCAGAGTTGGGAAGAATGGGTCCAAAGGGTAGAAAGTCACTAGTCGATAATTGGTCACAGTATTTACCAATGTACAGTACGCAAGAGCCGATTGCTCCACAATCCCAAAACCAAAGTCCACCACCCGGCAGTCCGGTACCACCTAATGATGTTCCAACTGAAGAGGAAGACGAAGAAGAAGAACTAGCTGAAGGTAATTTTTATATTCACTATTTTACCTTGATATTGTAGTAATGATTTTAAATGATTAAATTGACTTAATTTCACAGAAATAAGTGTATCAAGAAAACCATCTAGTGTAGCTGAACTTAAACGAAAACAAACAACGGCTGTTGTACTATTGGGCGTAATTGGTGCTGAATTTGGTCAAGACGTAGCAACAACAAACCAAAGAAAAAATAACAATGAACAGAGGCGGAGAAGTTCCGTTGTCGAAGGTTTCGGAATAGGAAATAATAATCTTGCTAGGCACACAAGTATGGCACTAACTCATTTACTCCACGCGCCTCACTCACCAAAATTACCATTACATACTGCTTTGAGAAGAGCAGCGATAGATCTCATAGGACGAGGATTCACCGTGTGGGAACCTTATCTTGATGTGTCGAAGGTAATATTTTTTTTAAATTTTAAATAGATTCCGATAATTGGAGAAAACTTAATTTTTTTCTTCTTTACAGGTTCTATTGGGTCTTCTTGAGATGTGCTGCGATGCCGACAAACTAGTGCCTAATATGACGTACGGTCTTCCCTTGACACCTCAAGCTGACTCTTGTCGAACAGCTCGACGAGCTTTAGTTCTAATAGCAACAGCCAGACCTGCTGCATTTATCACTACCATGGCGAGAGAAGTTGCTAGATTCAATACAATGCAGCAAAACGCACAAACTCTCAATGTAAATCTAGGCGCTAGTGTGTTAGCTCGAGCGAAGCCTGAAATATTAAAATTAGTGGAGGAATTGATAGAGAAAATGCAGAGTGAAATGAGTGATCTTCTAGTTGAGGTACAATTATTGCAATTATTAATTATTATTATAATTATACAATTTATTGCAAAATTTCAGATTTTATTAATATTAATAACACTTTTTACAGGTGATGGATATAATTCTTCATTGTCTCGATCCTGGACATTTGAAAGCAAAACCATTGAATGAAGTTTTTCCAGCAATCTGTAGATTTAATCAAGTATGTTTCATGAAATTGATAATAAATTACGGAATAAAAATATAAAACAACAAATATCGTAATGGATTGATTTTTTGAATACAGGTTAGTCATTGTCCAGCGACACGAAGAATTGCGGTAGGTGGACGAGGAGGTCAGCTGGCACTTTACGAATTGCGTGGAAATGTTAAATGCCAAACAGTATCAGCTCATCAAGCACCAGTCACTGCCTTAGCATTTTCACCAGAAGGGAAATTTTTAGTGAGCTATTCTTGTTCTGAAAATAAGCTGTGCTTCTGGCAGGTAAGTTTATAATAAAATTAATAATAAAATTTTAAACCATCTTTTAGGTAAAATAAATTCAATTGACACTTGATTTTTGAGTTGCAATGATATTTAAGGATGATTAAAGATTTCGAATTTTTATTCTCAAAAATACTCAAGAATACAATAAAAGATTATTGCAAACAGGCAAACATTTAATACAAATCATATTACATAATAGTGCACCTTCTGTGTAACAGAAAATAGTTAAAATTTCTGAACTCTTTTAACCTCTTGGCGTAAAAGTGCGTAAAATTTGGTACAAGTCCTTTTACAAAAACGATAGAATTCTCCAAATGTGAAACTAAGTGCAATACTTGATTTTTAGCAAACGAGTAGTGGTATGTTCGGCCTTGGCAATTCTCAGACACGTTGCGTGAAATCATATAGCACTGCTCCTATAAACGATGTGACGAGATTGAATCCAATGCGTCTAGCACGTCTCATTTGGATTAACAATCGTACGGTAACATTAATGTTGGCTGACGGTTCCGAAACTCGATTTAATGTCTAAATTATGAAGCACTTATTCATCTTTTCACATATGTATTAAATTTTAAAAAGGTGACAAAAAGTTGTGCCATTTTATTTCTGTTACAAAAATTATAATATTTAAAATATTTTTGAGAGTTTAGATATATATATATAAATCAACTCGCACTTTCCAAAGAATGATGTCATCTTTAATAATAATATGCAGGATATAGTAAACTAATTGTTAAGTACAAAGTGCGTTGATAATGGTTTATAAAATTTATAAAATTTCTTGTATTATATTGCTTTTAATTTTTTTCGTTTGTCGTTAAGTCTCATATTTTTCTCATATTGATAAATTTTATGTGAACAAGATTTCAACGAAAATTGATGCAAAATATGTATCGAATGATTCAATTTTTAAAAGATTTTTATTTTTTATTAAATTTTAGAGCAGATTGGATAAAGGTTATATAAAGTTTGTTAGTACTAATTTCAAACTAGTATCGACAAATTTTTTTAGTCAATAAAAAAAATTAAATATTTATTTTAATCCTGTTATACAAATTCATTTCTTCAAGTTTTAATGTATTTATCTATTTCGTATTAATTTATTTGTTGAATCCTTTAAATTTCTGAAAGAGATGGTATGATTTAAATTAAAAAATTGACATTTTCTTCTCGAAAGTTAAAATCATACTTTCTCCTTAGTATCAAAATTTCTAATCACTTAGTTGTAAAATAGTCAAAAATATAGATATTAAGTAAAGTAATATTCATAATAATTCACTTAGCAAAGGCTGTAGATTTTCTTTAATTTGATATTTATTATTATTATATTGTTTAACTTATTGTTAAAATGTATTACCGTTTTGGTATGTTTTATAGAATAAAAGTTGTGTTAATATATTTAAATTATTATTATTATTATTATAATTGTATTGTTATAAAAAATTAAATCATATTGTATCATATTTGTTATTAATCGATACTATGAATGTCCCGAAGCAAAAGTTTGCAAAGATAATGTATGGGTCATCGATTATATTATGTTGACATAATTGTTTCATCAAGCCTTTTTTATTAAATTGTAATCTGACAAAAGAAATGAATTTATTTAGCTAAGATTTTTTAAAAAAATACTATCTCATTTCTAATAATTTTAATTAAGAATTTTAATCAAAGACAGTTTCACCTATGCAACTATTTGACTTTTTCATCACCAATATGATTTATTACAGTAATTTGGATTCATATGATTGATATAATAAAATGTCTCATTAATTGTTAGTGTAATATTTATGAATAAGATTTCTTAATAATATATCAAGATGAAGAAATTATCTCTGTTATTATATGCATATAAATGTAATCAATTGAAGGTGTATATATATAATGTCTTTAGAAGTTAGTATATTTATGCATATACATTAGGAACATCCTTAAAAAATAAACATTTTTTAGTATTTTTTACAAAAGTGAAATATAACGTGAAATATAACTAATTTCATAAGTGATAATTTTATTTAGTGATTATCAATAAGAATGCAAATTTCTTTAAAATGAATACCGTTAAATAATTATGAGATTTGAAGAAGCAGAATCTATAAACTGATATAAAATATAGACAATTTTCCTACTGCGAAATTTTAAATGTTTATTTTTTAACAGACAAACTAATGTAACTGTAATAGATATTGTGCACATATTGTATTTATAAATTACAACAGATATATAAATTTCAAAAAAATAATAATTATAATAAATGCAGTATTCATGTTTTGAAACCAAAATATGTGATTTTTTTTCCTGCAACCGCACTAATATTATAAATTCATTCGAGAATTTGTAAAATCTTTTTCAGGTTTGGCATTAAAGTCATCAAAGTTGATGGTTATAAGATTTTGTTTGTAATTTTTTTAAATAAAAGAAATAAAATCTCTTCTGTGGATTATATAGATTTTTAATGTATGCTATAAAGTGAGGAATAAATATTGGTACATTAGTTTTTGCGGGAAGGTTTTAAATTGGAAAAAATAATTAAGTTATTTGGAGATAAGTGTAGAAGTTAAAATTAAACTTTTATTCAGTACGATGTGCGCGCTTGACTCACACGTGAATTATAAATGAAGTAGCAACGCGTAATAGAATTCGCTCCTAGTTCCTCGCCCTAGTATATAAGACTAGAATGTACCATTAGGCACCCCATTTTCTTGCACCACATTAATAGGGGTTTATAGGGGGCCCGTCAATAAAACCTTAACGTGTAAGTTTAGACACACATATCTTATAATTTAAACCACTGATATGTCGTCTATATACAATCAAATATATGACACCTATTGTTGTGCTTTTAGTCACTATATTTCTATTCTGTTTACTTTTTCTTATACTGTATTTCATAATATCAATTATTTGGAGATAATATTTTTAGTCTCTTAGACACCGAAAGTGCATTTTAGAGTCTCGGATGCATTGAACGTTATTAATAACTTTAAAGATTTGTTCCGAAGTTTCTATTCCAAAGTCTGTGTTTCGGAAATACGAGGGTAAATAAATTGAAAAGCACATAATGTAGTAATCGAAATGTGTGCTTGTGATTGTAACTGATTATGTATACAGGAAATTATTATTGTCGGTAAGTTGAGGTGATGAAAAGGCGAAGGTGTAGAAATGAAAAATAAAAAGATCTGCATGCCCAGCGATCGCAAACAATTTGATATGCAGACGTTGTTGTAGCGGCGCGCCGAACTTTTCGTCTTGCGAAACACAGTTTAAATCCAATACCATGAAATTGATACGTTTTCTGAATAATCTTTAAGTCAATACATACGACTTTTTCCATAAATTTTTCACTTTTTTATGATAAATGTTTGCATTTTAGTGAATTTTTTACTGTAAAATTATTCCTCTTTTTTATGTAGAACGATTTTCTTTTCAAAAACTAATTGCGTCATTGTGGATACAAGTTGCTCGGAACTGTCTTGTGATAAAAGGTTGAATATTTGCTTGGTCATGGGGTTTCATTTGGAAAGACGATCAAACAGATGAGAGTTAACTTTAACCGCAGCTTAGCAAATTAATAAAACGCCTACCCAATGGCAAGATTGCATCGAAAAAGATAGCTATTAGCTGTTTCAAAGGATTATATGCATATATCATGACAAGACGAATAATTTACACCGAATTAAAGTATCTTATTTTTTCTAATTTCAATAACCGGGCTTAAACACTTTTGCTGTGGAAAAGTTTTATTTAAAATGTTCAGTACAATTAAATAATAAATTTAGATCTTGGAATGAATCTCTAGAGACATAGTAGATTTTTCTAAAACATTTGATTATCTTTTCAGATGATACAATATTTATGTGTTAAGACTGTTTTATTTTGCGGTAATTTTGTCGATAGCTCGAAGCGACGCTGACTCAAACAACAACTGTCCATACGAAAGTCGAACCCTCTTGATCCTCGTTTACCGCACGACACGCAGGGATGAAATTGTTGTCTCTGACGATTCAGAGTATTCTCGTGGCAACCAAGTCGGACAACTCTTATTCGGTTCGATCGGTTTGCTGGCAATAAAAAACAGTCCAGTCAGCGGGGCGTGGACCGCACTATGATACCCTGAGGCCAATAGTCACACGGACTGTCCTAAATTGTCTTGCAAGTTTAAGAAGCATTACGAAAATGTAGTAACATTTAAATGTCCAATAAACTGAAAAACTGCAAAGCGAGAGCTTTCGGAAGATCTACCACAAAAAGGTGGATCGCCATTTATTTATATACGTGTATTTATCGTATTTATGGAAAACAAAATAAATCTTTCGCTTCAAAAATTTATGCACTGCAGATCGATATACTTTTATATACATATAGAAGAAACAAAGTTTGTAACCAAAGTATGATTAAAAAGTATTTTTAAGTTTAAAACTATAGATTAGGCAAATTTTAGTACTGGAAAAATGAGATGTTATTATCTACAAGAACGTTCAGTGTAGATTATTATTAATGTATTAATATTAATTAATATTAATGTAGATTATTATTGTAAATAATAACATTTCATTTTTCCATCCTTTATCTTAAAGACCGCAAATGTTTTTTAAGATGCTTTTGATAAATTTTATGAAACAACTTAAAAGTTTGACTACCAAATTATTAAGATAAGATTTTTTGCAGCAAGCTTTTCTTCCTACTATTTTAAAATATTTTAAGAAAACGCACAATGTACAAAATAATAAATTCCTTATATCCGGAGCGAAACTGAATAATAAAAAGGCTCATCTGTTTCAATCACAAAATTTATATGCATAAAATTACAAAAGAAACATTTAATTTTTTTTTGTCCTCAAATGTTTTCCCATGAAAAATTAAAGGTTCTCTCCCCATTTCCACAGTAGTGTTGTATAATATCAGAATCGTCCCGCCCATCAACCACGCCCAAGAGCAATTACACTCTGAGGTCACCCACATAGAAGTGGGAGAAAAACCCCCCTTTATACCACCCTTATGTACCAACCTTTGTCTCTCTTTTAGGAACCCACGCACACATTCTGAACTTTATCCTATTTATTTATACTGTAAAAAATATTCTAAAAGTGATGAAAAAAAATTTGTGATTAAAAAAACGACTCTATGAGCAAACTTTTAAATATGTAAAATCCTTTTCAGCTTAGCATTTTATAATAATCGCAGAATTACTATTTGGTGGTAACTTAACTTCACGATGTTATTCACAATTTTCTTGAAAGTATCAAATTGATACCAAAGTGGATCAAATTGATGCTAAAATTTGGAGCAATTTTTTATTTAATCCACTTTTTTGCTATCAATTCGTTGTTGCAATTTGATACTTTCAAGTTAACATAGTGTTAGGAAATTTGAACAACACCCTATCGTTGCGGTGAAATCTCCGTGAAAACTTCCAGAAAGTTTACAATATATTCTCTTTTGTAAAACTTTCTTAAACAGAAGAAAGTGGGTCGAAACTGAGTAACAAAGAGTAATTTTCTGTTTACAGAGAATCAAATAAATTGATTCAATCAACCCCAAGAATTCTTCATTGAATATTTAGGTATTTGAGCGAAAATGTGTATAATTGGAGACAAAAGTTGTTTTTGAACAATCGAGAGAACAGGGGTGGTATCAAAAAAAGTTTAGAAATAATAAAAAGTTATACTTAAAAGTTTGTTTAATTATTGCTTTACAAGATTGTAATAATAACCAGAGACTTTATATTTCAAATAAAAAGAAACTTTATAATACTTATATATAAAATACTATATTTTGAAACAAAATTTAATTAACTTTTAACTTTCTTTACATTTTTTTCTTTCTTAATTTTTCCAAGAAATAGTTTGAAATCTAATATTTTTAATATCTCAAAACACACACCCTCAAATTTTGTTTGAAATTCATGTGAAAAGGAAATGCTTATCCTTTTCTAGTTCCCATATAATTCCTTAGCATTTATTAGACATTTTAAAAAATTTAAAGATAAAAATGAAAATAAAATGTGTCTTTAAAATAGTAAAGACACATTTAAAGAAAAAATATGAAAATCAATTTAATGTTGTAAAACTTAACTTCGTACTAATTTTTATAAATTTTTTCGAAAACACAATTTTTATATTTCAATTCTCTAAAATTAGCAAACAGAATAATCTTTTAATAAAACACAAGGGACTGGGAACTAGAAAAGGTATAAGTTTCATTTTCACATATATTTCATATATTTCACGTACAGTTTTAATAAAATTTAAGAAGAGGGGGGAGGGGTGTTTTAAAATATCAGGTGTATTAGAGATTACAAACAGGAATTTTTTAAAGAAATTGCGAGAAATTTTGGAAAATATAAAGACGATTTAAAGTACATTAAATTCTTTTTCAAAATAGTGTATATAAGATATTAAAAATAATTCTTTCTTTATAGAATAAAATTCAATTAAAAATTAAAACGAATGCCCCATATAGATTATCAATATTTCAATAAAAAATACTATTTTAATAAGAAAAAAAAATTAATTCTTTATTTAAAATCGAAACATTTAATCAATTTGAGACAAATTATTCTATTTTCAAACAAAAGTAATAATAAGAGTTAATAATTTATATAAGTATTAATATAAGAATTATTATTCTCTAATTTTAATATAAATTTTCCTCTATTGTAAAATCATAAAATTATTGTATACAGAAGTAATAGTCTTCACTTGAGGATTTGCCTCTCATATATTCGATAATCATTGTTATCGTATATTGATAAAAAAAATGTTTTTAATTAAATTTGATTGCAATTGAGAGGATATCAGAATAGGACTTTTTCTCCTATATCACTTATTTTTTTAGGTATTTATAATAAATATTAATTATTATAAGTCCCGCTTTTCTCTATTCCTATAAATAAAAAGTATTCGCTAAATTTTTCTGAATCAATTACCATATTTTTAACTTTTCAATGTAGTGGATGACAGACACAAACAAGTTAACATGCTTGTGAAAGTTTTATATAGATTTCATTTTTCATTGAATCAGACGTAATTTCATGAATGAGTAAGGATGAATGAATTATTCTGTTCAGCAGGTTATATTTGTATAAAGGAATAAATATATCGCCGATTAAATAAAATGTATTGATTTTCTTTCACTTTGAAAAATAAAATGATAAAAATTTTATCACTGCAAATTTATATTATGTAATTATAGATTTCAACGTATGTACGCGTATAATGGAGTTTATTTTTTTAGTTATTTATAATATATTAAATATATATATACCTAATATATTAAATTA